ATCACGTGACTGTGGACTCGATCTGGACTCAGGTGTTATGTGCTGATCAGACACACGAACACCTGAAGGGCAGGACTGATCCACAGGAAGAACCAAAAAGGAAACATTTGTCCGACTAAGAAATCCTCCCGAGTTTACAGAGAACATTTTGTCTGTGGAGCCACGACAAAACAAAATCCTGATCCTTTGTTTAACCTCGATTATGAATTTAAAAGGTCAAACAGAAAGTGAAAGTTTCTTGTTCCAACTGTTCACCAAGAAACACCTTCCACTGCAAAGACCAGTGGAAGGTGTTTTTGGTGAAACCACAAGAACAAGTGGAGACTTTTGCTCAGTTGTGTTGTCTTTTCAATTCATAACCGAGGTTGAACAAAGGATCAGGATTTTGTTTTGTCGTGGCTCCACATACAAAATGTTCTCTGTAAACTCAGGATGATTTCTTACAGACAAATGTTTCCTTTTTGGTTCTTCCTGTGGATCAATCCTGCCCATCACCTTCACCTTTCACTATTTTTCAATTCCGTTGGGAAGAAAAACAGTTTGAACGGAGGTTTGAGTCACACACATCTGATTCACTTTTGCATTTATGAAGTTCACAAACTAATTTCTTGAGTCGTTTTCCACTGTTTGGATCCAACAACCACAACAATGACGATGTCTGAATCCCCAAACTAAAATATGACAATATCAGAACCAGAAACAAAAGTGAAATGGTTCAAAAGACTTGAGAAGATCGACTTTGTCAACAGACACGTCCCACTGGGAAAACAAACATGGAGCTTTGATGATCACTTTTTCACAGGATGTTTCCCCGTGTGAACCGCACCAGGACCAGAGTCTGAGATTCATGATACATGGATTAAAACTCTGTGGGAAACGTTTCCAAACATCTTCCTGGTTTGTGACGCGTCTGCAGATGTTTGTGAGGAGGAACATTAGAACATTAGAACATTAGAAGACGATACAGGTCCATGCACCATTGGTTCTTTTGAATTTCAATTGTGGGTTTTTTCGGAAGGTTCCATGCGTGTCCTAAAAAGAAGCACGAGAGAATCCGAGAGAACAGGCCACTTTATTTCATCATTTTCCATTGAGTGAGATTCAAGTTGATTACCAAGTACAACTGTCACCCCGGAACAACGCCTCAACTCCCCAACTCAAAATCAGAAGCTTTATACTACATCTTGACAAAACATTAACTTGTTGATTCAGCAAATACAGCAAGAAAATGAACAATACTGCTGACCCAGTGCACCTTATCATGGGTGGGACCTGCCACGGGGACCACACATGTCAGTTTTGCTGCTTCGTGGCATCTCAAGGTCCAGAAAACATGTTCTTTATGCAAGAAAAACATGTTATGTAAACCTATAGATAATCACACGTGTGTTTCCCACCCTGCTGTCATTCTAAAGTCCATAATATTAGGTGAATTTAGCATGATCAGCACATTAATTTCCCACACAATCCAGAACTAAATACAATCAAAAAACAGAAAAAGTTTTGCTGCTGAAGGACGAACCTGAAAACTCGCTGCAGTTTCGTGGACAAACGTGTTTCTTCTTTCACAGCGACGCCGCGTTTATTTTCACGTCTTAGAAAGAAGCAGCGAGAAACTAGAATAAAAACAGTTTTTATTCTAGATCCACGGTCGACACTGGAGCAGAACTTCACATAAACCAGAGAGAATCAAATATCAGAATTAAAATAGAACTTTAAATTAAATTCTGGAAATAAATAGTTTGACACTAAAACAGAAAATTTAAATAACAAACTGTTCTCATTTTATTGTTTTTCATTCTTAAATTCAAAAGAACCAACAGTACACAGATCTTTAATCTCTCAGTGACGTTAATTCTCTTTTTTTTTAAACTTCTTTATTTAATTATTTCTTGGTAGATTTGAGTTTTAACCTCTGACCTGCTGCAGCTCGTCCCTCTGATGTTTGTTTGCAAAAAAATAACTTCAGCTTTTCGTTTGGGAGTTTGTGTTAATGATTAAAAAATAAAAATGTTTGTCTTTTGTTTTTGAGTTTGAATCATGTGGAAAAAAAAACTGAATGTAAAAACATGACGTTTCTGATCTATGCACAAAAAAGAATGTTCAAATAAAACAGAAAAATACGACGAAAATGTGTTTTTACAACATTTATGAGTCGACATGTCGAACCCGAACCAACTCCACGAGCGACTCAAGGACCTGGTTTAGTCCTGGTCTAGACCAGGACTAAACCAGGTCTAGACCAGGTCTGGAGCAGGTTTTAGTCCTGTGTGATGATGATGATGATGATGATGATGATGGGGGTGGGGGGGTTGGTTGGTTCATCATTTTCTCGTTTCCATTTTCTCTTCGTTCTGCTCCACTGAACCACAGACTCAGCTTTAAATCTGACCCCCCCTCCTGCCCCCCCCCTCCCTCCCCCCCTGCACCTGCCCCGCCTCCTCCTGCCCCCCCCCCCCCCCTCCTCCCTCCCCTCCTCCTGCCCCCCTCCCTCCCCCTCCTCCTGCCCCTGACTCCCGCCTCAGTCTCCAGGATTTTTAAAACAAAACTCCAAAAATCAAAACCACAAATGATTTTTTCTCCCGATATTTACATCTGTGTGAAAGTCCACGGGACTGACACACACAGGGTCTGACACACACACACACACACAGGGTCTGACACACACAGTCTGACACACACACACAGGGTCTGACACACACAGGGTCTGACACACACACACACAGGGTCTGACACACACACACACACACACAGGGTCTGACACACACAGGGTCTGACACACACACACACAGGGTCTGACACACACACACACACACAGGTCTGACACACACAGTCTGACACACACACACAGGGTCTGACACACACAGGGTCTGACACACACAGAGTCTGACACACACAGAGTCTGACACACACACACAGGGTCTGACACACACACAGAGTCTGACACACACAGGGTCTGACACACACACACACACAGAGTCTGACACACACACACAGGGTCTGACACACACAGAGTCTGACACACACAGGGTCTGACACACACACACAGGGTCTGACACACACAGGGTCTGACACACACAGTCTGACACACACAGGGTCTGACACACACACTGACACACACAGTCTGACACACACACACACAGGGTCTGACACACACAGAGTCTGACACACACAGGACACACACAGGGTCTGACACACACACAGAGTCTGACACACACAGGGTCTGACACACACAGAGTCTGACACACACACACAGGGTCTGACACACACACAGAGTCTGACACACACAGGGTCTGACACACAGGGTCTGACACACACAGGGTCTGACACACACAGGGTCTGACACACACACACACACACACACAGGGTCTGACACACACACACAGAGTCTGACACACACACACAGGGTCTGACACACACAGAGTCTGACACACACAGAGTCTGACACACACACACAGGGTCTGACACACACACACACACACAGGGTCTGACACACACAGGGTCTGACACACACAGGGTCTGACACACACACACAGGGTCTGACACACACAGGGTCTGACACACACAGGGTCTGACACACACAGGGTCTGACACACACAGGGTCTGACACACACAGAGTCTGACACACACACACACACACAGGGTCTGACACACACAGGGTCTGACACACACAGGTCTGACACACACAGGGTCTGACACACACAGAGTCTGACACACACACACACACAGGTCTGACACACACAGAGGGTCTGACACACACAGGGTCTGACACACACAGAGTCTGACACACACAGGGTCTGACACACACAGGGTCTGACACACACAGGTCTGACACACACAGGGTCTGACACACACAGGGTCTGACACACACACACAGTCTGACACACACACACACAGGGTCTGACACACACAGACACACACACACAGGGTCTGACACACACAGGTGACACACAGACACAGGGTCTGACACACACAGAGTCTGACACACACAGGGTCTGACACACACACACACAGAGTCTGACACACACACACACACAGGGTCTGACACACACAGGGTCTGACACACACAGAGTCTGACACACACACACACACAGGGTCTGACACACACACACACACACAGAGTCTGACACACACACACACAGGTCTGACACACACAGGGTCTGACACACACACACAGGGTCTGACACACACAGAGTCTGACACACACAGGGTCTGACACACACAGAGTCTGACACACACAGAGTCTGACACACACAGACACACACAGAGTCTGACACACACAGGGTCTGACACACACACAGGGTCTGACACACACACACAGGGTCTGACACACACAGGGTCTGACACACACAGGGTCTGACACACACAGGGTCTGACACACACAGAGTCTGACACACACAGGGTCTCACACCTGACACACACAGGGTCTGACACACACAGAGTCTGACACACACAGGGTCCTGACACACACACTGACACACACAGGGTCTGACACACACAGAGTCTGACACACACACACAGGGTCTGACACACACACACAGGGTCTGACACACACAGAGTCTGACACACACACAGAGTCTGACACACACACACACACAGGGTCTGACACACACACACACAGGGTCTGACACACACAGGGTCTGACACACACACACACACACAGGGTCTGACACACACAGGGTCTGACACACACACACACAGAGTCTGACACACACAGGGTCTGACACACACACTGACACACAGGGTCAGGGTCTGACACACACAGGGTCTGACACACACAGGGTCTGACACACACAGGGTCTGACACACACAGACACACACAGTCTGACACACACAGGGTCTGACACACACAGGGTCTGACACACACAGGGTCTGACACACACAGGGTCTGACACACACAGGGTCTGACACACACAGGGTCTGACACACACAGGGTCTGACACACACAGTGTGGGAGGGCATCTGATTCACTCTCGTCTTTAACACTTCAAGTATAAACCTGAACTTTTACAAATGTTTCTTTTTAATTATGAATAAATAATGAACATAAATATGATGTTTCATAAATACAACTTCTGTCCAACTGAAAACACTCTGATCCACCTGGTGATGTCATCGTGTGGTGATACAGGAAGTGCTCCACTGTGTTTTTAAACACTTCACCTTCACCTGAATCACCTGGATCAGTTCAGTCCTGGAGTTTATTTACCCAAACTCGACTGAACCAAAGGGAAAAGGAGCTGAGAACTTGATGACATCACAAGGTGGAACAGAGCGTTTGGAGATTTGCAGATGTAAACAGATAAATAATAAAGATTTACTCAAACAAACAAAAGTCCAGCTCTGTTTGAGATGAGGAACATCAGAGCATCAGAACATCAGAACATCAGAACATCAGAACATCAGAACATCAGAGCCTGGACTCCGTGTGACTCTGGAGTTTTAAATCATCAGAAGAATCGCGAGGACGATGACGACGACGACGGTGGTTTTATAAGAAACTGTGAAGAGACAAAATGTTTTGAAATTGTGTTAATATTTAAATAAATTTGTCACAGGATTAAATTTTATTTGTTTGAATCTGTTTCTCGTCTCGTCCAGCTTCTTCTCTGGTGACACTTCCTTGTATCTGCCTGCAGGAGGCGTCACTACGCTGACAGTTTGTGTTTGGGTTTTATGAACAGAATCCCTCAGGTCGTTCTGGAGTTTTCACACTTCTGGTCATGACCTGGACCTGGCTGTTTCTGTTGTTTTATTTGTTTAGTTTCAGGTTTGAGGAAAACGAGGTGGAAACAGATCGAGTCTAAAACCCCGTTTCTGTTTCTGTTTCAGGACTCGTTCACAGATACTCGAGTATTTTTTAAATCAGACACATTTCTCTTCGTTCGTTTTCGTCTTTAACAAAAACTGAAAATAAATGTTTGTAAAAACTCGTGTGGAGTGAAGTTTGTGTAAAACTCTGGTCTGTAAAGTGACATAAAGAGTCTGAGGAGCCGACGCCAACAGAGCGACCAGAGTTTCACTTTTACTCTGAGGTTGATGAAGATGATGAAGATGATGAGGAAGAGGATGATGCCCACTCACAAATGCACGATTTTACTCAGATCTGTGGAGAGGCGAGCCGCTCACTAATGCACCATTTTAAACATGTTTGTGAGTCAAACTTAAACTGTAATAAAAATAAAAGCTGCAGGTTTGAGTTTCATCACGTCGTCGCCCAGAGACTCGGTGCAGTTCTGACGCTGTTTGTTTTTATGCAGCTTCATGAAAACTGTTTTTAAATCGATGCTGCTGATGATGTGATTTTGGAAAACGGAGGGAAATACTCGTATCTCAACACGACGACTCTGTGGAAACGAAGCCAAAGGAACAATTCTATTTCTTAACAAAAATCGTTTCTCGCTTTATGGAGTTTTTGAGGAGCCACGATGGACGAGAGCGACTGAGATGTTCGTTTCTGCTCGAGTGAAACTTTACAAGCTGCACTAAGAATCTGAATGTTCAGTTTTATCTGCAGACTGAACAAATCAGATAAAATAATCAAATAATAATGTCACTCACAAATCTGAGATTCAGTCCAACATGTGGAGACTCTGGTGAGGTTCTTTTAAAAACATGAACGTTTATTGTTTTGTTTTGTCACTGTCCTCGTCTGGTTTAAAAATGGACCATGAGTCTCGGAGTAAAGACGATGAAGATGATTTAACTCAGCTGTTAAAGTGTAGAGTGAGTGTAGTGAGTGAGTGTGAGAGAGTGAGTGTAGAGTGAGTGTAGAGTGAGTGTAGAGTGAGTGTAGAGTGAGTGTAGAGTGAGTGTAGAGTGAGTGTGAGAGTGAGTGAGTGAGAGTGAGTGAGTGTAGAGTGAGTGTGAGTGAGTGTAGAGTGAGTGTGAGTGTAGAGTGAGTGTGAGAGTGTAGAGTGAGTGTAGTGTAGAGTGAGTGTAGAGTGAGTGTGAGTGAGTGTGAGTGTGAGTGTAGTGAGTGTAGAGTGAGTGTAGTGTGTAGTGTAGTGTAGAGTGAGTGTAGTGAGTGAGTGTAGAGTGAGTGTAGAGTGAGTGTGAGTGTAGAGTGAGTGTAGAGTGAGTGTAGAGTGAGTGTAGAGTGAGTGTAGAGTGAGTGTGAGAGTGAGTGTAGAGTGAGTGTGAGAGTGAGAGTGAGTGTAGAGTGAGTGTAGAGTGAGTGTGAGTGAGTGTGAGAGTGAGTGTAGAGTGAGTGTAGAGTGTAGAGTGAGTGTAGAGTGAGTGTAGAGTGAGTGAGAGTGAGTGTAGAGTGAGTGTAGAGTGAGTGTAGAGTGAGAGTGAGTGTAGAGTGAGTGTGAGTGAGTGTGAGTGAGTGAGTAGAGTGAGTGTAGAGTGAGTGTAGAGTGAGTGTAGAGTGAGTGTAGAGTGAGTGTAGAGTGAGTGTAGTGAGTGTAGAGTGAGTGTAGAGTGAGTGTAGAGTGAGTGTAGAGTGAGTGTAGAGTGAGTGAGAGTGAGTGTAGAGTGAGTGAGAGTGAGTGAGTGTGAGTGAGAGTGAGTGAGAGTGAGTAGAGTGAGTGAGTGATGAGTGAGTGAGTGAGTAGTGAGTGAGTGAGAGTGAGTGTAGAGTGAGTGTAAGAGTGAGTGAGAGTGAGTGTGAGTGAGTGTGTAGAGTGAGTGTGAGTGAGTGAGAGTGAGTGTAGAGTGAGTGTAGAGTGTAGAGTGAGTGTGAGTGAGTGAGTGAGTGAGTGAGTGTGAGTGTAGAGTGAGTGTAGAGTGAGTGTAGAGTGAGTGTGAGAGTGAGTGTAGAGTGAGTGTAGAGTGAGTGTAGAGTGAGTGTAGAGTGAGTGTAGAGTGAGTGAGAGTGAGAGTGAGTGTAGAGTGAGTGTAGAGTGAGTGAGAGTGAGAGTGTAGAGTGAGTGTAGAGTGAGTGTAGAGTGAGTGTAGAGTGAGTGTAGAGTGAGTGTAGAGTGAGTGTAGAGTGAGTGTAGAGTGAGTGTAGAGTGAGTGTAGAGTGAGTGTGAGTGAGTGTAGAGTGAGTGTAGAGTGAGTGAGTGTAGAGTGAGTGTAGAGTGAGTGTAGAGTGAGTGAGTGTGAGTGTAGAGTGAGTGTAGAGTGAGTGTAGAGTGAGTGTAGTGAGTGTGAGTGAGTGTAGAGTGAGTGAGAGTGAGTGAGAGTGAGTGTAGAGTGAGTGAGTGAGAGTGAGTGTAGAGTGAGTGTAGTGTAGAGTGAGTGAGTGAGAGTGAGTGAGAGTGAGTGAGTGTGAGTGAGTGAGTGAGTGTAGAGTGAGTGTGTAGAGTGAGTGTAGAGTGAGTGTAGAGTGAGTGTAGAGTGAGAGTGAGTTGTAGAGTGAGTGTAGAGTGTGAGTGAGTGAGTGAGTGAGAGTGAGTGTAGAGTGAGTGTAGAGTGAGAGTGAGTGTAGAGTGAGTGTGAGTGTAGAGTGAGTGTAGAGTGAGTGTAGAGTGAGTGAGAGTGAGTGTGAGTGAGTGTAGAGTGAGTGTAGAGTGAGTGTAGAGTGAGTGAGTGAGAGTGAGTGAGTGTAGAGTGAGTGTAGAGTGTAGAGTGAGTGTAGAGTGTAGAGTGAGTGTAGAGTGAGTGTAGAGTGAGTGTAGAGTGAGTGTAGAGTGAGTGAGAGTGAGTGAGTGAGTGTAGAGTGTAGAGTGAGTGTAGAGTGAGTGAGTGAGAGTGAGTGTAGAGTGAGTGTAGAGTGAGTAGAGTGAGTGAGTAGAGTGAGTGTAGAGTGAGTGTAGAGTGTAGTGTAGAGTGAGTGTAGAGTGAGTAGAGTGTGTAGAGTGAGTGAGTGAGAGTGAGAGTGAGTAGAGTGAGTGTAGAGTGAGTGTGAGTGTGAGAGTGAGTGTAGAGTGTAGAGTGAGTGTAGAGTGAGTGTAGAGTGAGTGTAGAGTGAGTGTAGAGTGAGTGTAGAGTGAGTGTAGAGTGAGTGTAGAGTGAGTGTGAGTGAGTGTAGAGTGAGTGTAGAGTGTAGTGTAGAGTGAGTGTGAGTGAGTGAGAGTGAGTGTAGTGTAGAGTGTAGAGTGAGTGTAGAGTGAGTGTAGAGTGAGTGTAGAGTGTGTAGAGTGAGTGAGTGAGTGAGTGTAGAGTGTGAGTGTGAGAGTGGAGTGTAGAGTGAGTGTAGAGTGAGTGTAGTGAGTGTAGAGTGAGTGTAGAGTGAGTGTGAGTGAGTGTAGAGTGAGTGTAGAGTGAGTAGAGTGAGTGTGAGTGAGTAGAGTGAGTGTAGAGTGAGTGTAGAGTGAGTGAGTGAGAGTGAGTGTAGAGTGAGAGTGAGTGTAGAGAGTGAGTGTAGAGTGAGTGTAGAGTGAGAGTGAGTGTGAGTGAGTGTAGAGTGAGTGTAGAGTGAGTGTAGAGTGAGTGTAGAGTGAGTGTAGAGTGAGTGAGAGTGAGTGAGATGTAGAGTGTAGTGTGTAGAGTGAGTGTAGAGTGAGTGTAGAGTGAGAGTGTAGAGTGAGTGTAGAGTGAGTGTAGAGTGAGTGAGAGTGAGTGTAGTAGAGTGAGTGTAGTGAGTGTAGAGTGAGTGTAGAGTGAGTGTAGAGTGAGTGTAGAGTGAGTGTAGAGTGTAGAGTGAGTGTAGAGTGAGTGTAGAGTGTAGAGTGTGTGAGAGTGAGTGTAGAGTGAGTGTAGAGTGAGTGTAGAGTGAGTGTAGAGTGAGTGTAGAGTGAGTGTGAGTGTAGAGTGAGTGTGAGTGAGTGAGTGTAGAGTGAGTGTAGAGTGAGTGTAGAGTGAGTGAGAGTGTAGAGTGAGTGTAGAGTGTGAGAGTGAGTAGTGAGTGTAGAGTGAGTGTAGAGTGAGTGTAGAGTGAGTGTGTAGAGTGAGTGTAGAGTGAGTGTAGAGTGAGTGTAGAGTGAGAGTGAGTGAGTGAGTGTAGAGTGAGTGTAGAGTGTAGAGTGTAGAGTGAGTGAGAGTGAGTGTGAGTGAGAGTGAGTGTAGAGTGAGTGAGTGAGTGTAGAGTGAGTGTAGAGTGAGTGTAGAGTGAGTGAGTAGAGTGAGTGTAGAGTGAGTGTAGAGTGAGTGAGTGAGTGTGAGTGTAGTGTGAGTGAGTGTAGAGTGAGTGAGTGAGAGTGAGTGAGTGAGTGTAGAGTGAGTGTAGAGTGAGTGAGAGTGAGTGTGAGTGAGTGTGAGTGAGTGAGAGTGAGTGTAGAGTGAGTGTAGAGTGAGTGTAGAGTGAGTGTGAGTGTGTAGAGTGAGTGTAGAGTGAGTGGAGTGAGTGAGAGTGAGTGTAGAGTGAGTGTGAGGTGTAGAGTGTAGAGTGTAGAGTGAGTGTAGAGTGAGTGTGAGTGAGAGTGAGTGTAGAGTGTAGTGAGTGTAAGAGTGTAGAGTGTGAGTGTAGAGTGAGTGTAGAGTGAGTGTGAGAGTGAGTGTAGAGTGAGTGTAGAGTGAGTGTTGTAGAGTGAGTGTAGAGTGAGTGTAGAGTGAGTGTAGAGTGAGTGTAGAGTGTGAGTGAGTGTAGAGTGAGTGTAGTGTGAGTGAGTGAGTGTAGAGTGAGTGAGTGTAGAGTGAGTGTGAGTGTGAGAGTGTAGAGTGAGTGTGAGTGTAGAGTGTAGAGTGAGTGAGTGTAGAGAGTGAGTGAGTGAGTGAGTGAGTGTAGAGTGAGTGTAGAGTGAGTGAGTAGAGTGGTGTGAGTGAGTGTGAGTGTGTTGAGTAGTGTGAGTGTGAGTGTAGAGTGAGTGAGAGTGAGTGTAGTGAGTGAGTGAGAGTAGAGTGTAGAGTGAGTGTAGAGTGAGTGAGAGTAGAGTGAGTGTAGAGTGTAGAGTGAGTGTAGAGTGAGTGTAGAGTGAGTGTAGAGTGAGTGTAGAGTGAGTGTAGAGTGAGTAGAGTGAGAGTGAGTAGAGTGAGTGTAGAGTGAGTGTAGAGTGAGTGTGAGTGAGTGTGAGTGTGAGAGTGAGGTGTAGAGTGAGTGTAGAGTGAGTGTAGAGAGTGAGTGTAGAGTGAGTGTGAGTGAGTGAGAGTGAGTGTAGAGTGAGTGTAGAGTGAGTGAGTGAGTAGAGTGAGTGTAGAGTGAGTGAGTGAGAGTGAGTGTAGAGTGAGAGAGTGAGTGTGAGTGAGTGAGTGAGTGAGAGTGAGTGAGTGTAGAGTGAGTGTAGTGAGTGAGTGTAGAGTGAGTGTAGAGTGATGTAGAGTGAGTGAGTGAGTGAGTGTAGTGAGTGTAGAGTGAGTGTTAGTGTAGTGTAGAGTGAGTGTAGAGTGAGTAGAGTGAGTGTAGAGTGAGTGTAGAGTGTAGAGTGAGTGTAGAGTGAGAGTGAGTGAGTGTAGAGTGAGTGAGAGTGAGTGTGAGAGTGAGTGTAGAGAGTGAGTGAGAGTGAGTGTAGAGTGAGTGTAGAGTGAGTGTGAGTGTAGAGTGTGAGTGAGTGTAGAGTGAGAGTGAGTGTAGAGTGAGTGTGAGTGAGTGTAGTGAGAGTGTGAGAGTGAGTGAGTTAGAGTGAGTGTAGAGTGAGTGTTAGAGTGAGTGAGTGAGTGAGTAGAGTGAGTGTAGTGAGTGAGTGTGAGAGTGAGGTGTAGTGAGTGAGTGAGTGTAGAGTGAGTGAGTGAGTAGAGTGTAGTGAGTGTAGAGTGAGTGTGAGAGTGAGTGTAGTGCAGTGAGTGTGAGAGTGAGTGTAGAGTGTAGTGTAGAGTGAGTGTAGAGTGAGTGTAGAGTGTGAGAGTGAGTGTGTGAGAGTGAGTGAGTTAGAGTGAGTGTAGAGTGAGTGTGAGTGAGTGAGTGTAGAGTGAGTGTTAGAGTGAGAGTGAGTGGTAGAGTGTAGAGTGAGTGTGAGAGTGAGTGTAGAGTGAGTGTAGAGTGAGTAGAGTGAGTGTGAGTGTGAGTGTAGTGAGTGTAGTGTAGAGTGAGTGAGTGAGTGTAGAGTGTGTAGAGTGAGTGTAGAGTAGTGAGTGAGTGAGTGTAGAGTGAGTAGAGTGAGTGTAGAGTGAGTGTAGAGTGAGTGTAGAGAGTGAGTGTGAGTGAGTGTGAGTGAGAGTGAGTGTAGAGTGAGTGTGAGTGAGTGTAGTGAGTGTAGAGTGTGTAGAGTGAGTGTAGAGTGAGTGAGAGTGAGTAGAGTGAGTGTAGTGAGTGTAGTGTAGTGAGTGTAGAGTGAGTGTAGAGTGAGTGTAGAGTGAGTGTAGAGTGTAGAGTGAGTGTAGAGTGAGTGTGAGAGTAGAGTGAGTGTAGAGTGAGTGTAGAGTGAGTGTAGAGTGAGTGTAGAGTGTAGAGTGTAGAGTGAGTGTAGAGTGAGAGTGAGTGTAGTGTGGAGTGCAGTGAGCGCCTCCTGCAGGCAGATACAAGGAAGTGTCCACCAGAGTCTGACAGAACTGAAGCAGTTTGGACGAGACGAGAAACAGATTCAACCAAATAAACTTTTGTCCAGTCGACCTGAACGACTGACAGATTTTTCACTCGTTAAAATAAATTCAAATCAAACTCCAGATTCTGTGAGGATCTGGTCTTTACCTTTGAGACGCTGAGAGTTTGAAGACAAAACCTCCTCCTGTTCTTCATCTGTCAAAAAAAACCACAACGAATATGATTCAGTTAAAACAAAACACAACTCGTTTAGTCCTGGTTTAGTCCTGGTTTAGTCCTGGTTTAGTCCTGGTTTAGTCCTGGTTTAGTCCTGGTTTAGTCCTGGTTTAGTCCTGGTTTAGTCCTGGTTTAGTCCTGGTTAGTCCTGGTTCAGTCCTGGTTCAGTCCTGGTTCAGTCCTGGTTTAGTCCTGGTTTAGTTCTGTTGGACTCAGCGTTTTTTCGATCAATACTCTGATTTAAAATGTCATGATTATGAGAGAATATTCCCCAGGGCTCAGAGGTCAGAGGTCACACACACACACACACACAGACACACACACACACACACACACACAAGACACACACACACACACACACACACACACAGACACACACACACACACACACACACAGACACACACACACACACACAGACACACACACACACACAGACACACACACACACACACACACACACACACACACACACAGACACACACACACACACACAGACACAGACACAGACACACACACACACACAGACACACACACACACACACACGACACACAGACACACACACACACACACACACACAGACACACACACACACGACACACACACACACACACACACACACACACACACACACACACACACACAGACACACACACACACACACACACACACACACACACACACACACACACACAGACACACACACAGACACACACACACACACACAGACACACACACACACAGACACACACACACACACACACACACAGACACACACACACACACACACACAGACACACACACACACACACACACACACACACACAGACACACACACACACACAGACACACACACACACACACACACACACACACACACGACACACACACACACACACACACACACACACACACACACAACAGACACACACACACAGACACACACACACACACACACACACACACACACACAGACACACACACACAGACACACACACACACACACACACAGACACACACACACACACACACTCTCTCTCTCTCTCTGGTGTAAATGTCTTGACTAAATATAAAAACTGGACCTTTGTTGTTGAAGTTGAAGTTCCAGTTTCCTCCGGTGAGTCGGTCTTGGACGTCGCACCAAAACGAACTGTCGGCCACCGCCTCCGTCACTCTGCCCCAGGTCGTCCTCTGCCCCAGGTCGTCACTCTGCCCCAGGTCGTCACTCTGCCCCAGGTCGACTGTGGCCTCCGGGGTTTGGGTTTGGGTTTGGAGACGAGCGAGAACCTGCCGGGGTCCGGGGTGGACAGAGAACAGTCCAGAACTTTACGACCGACGGCTGCGAAGAAGAAAAGAAACAGAGAGAAGAAAAGGAGTCAAGTTCTGCTTTTGAAAAATATAGATTGAATTTCTTTTTATAAAGCTGTAAATCTCTTTGTTTTGAAGAGTTTATGATGTTCTGATGAAACAATGAAAAGTGAAGCTGCCCAACTAAAAATTTCAGTGTCATCAAAAATGTGAGCAGCAGGGGCGGAGTCTGAAGTGTGGAAACCTGTCAGACCAATCACAGCGTTCCTCCGTCCTCCAGACCCCGCCCCCTCTGGAGCAATGATTGACAGCTGCCACAACAATCCAGCACGACGTGTGGACCGGTGCGTCTGGACTGCGAAAACATTTGTGCTCGGATCATCAGCCGTTTCCCTTTTCTCCAGACACGGCGGAAGGTGGCGGCGCCCGGTGGTGCCAGGTGGGGGGTGGGGGCAGTGGTGTCAGGTGGGGGGCAGTGGTGTCAGGTGGGGGGGCAGGTGGTGCAGGTGGGGGCAGTGGTGTCAGGTGGGGGCAGTGGTGTCAGGTGGGGGCAGTGGTGCAGGTGGCAGGTGGGGCAGGTGGGGGGCAGTGGTGCAGGTGGGGGCAGGTGGGTGGGCAGTGTGTCAGGTGGGCAGTGGTCAGGGCAGGTGGGGGCAGTGGTGGTGGCAGGTGCAGTGGGCAGGTGGGGGCAGTGGTGTCAGGTGGGGGCAGTGGTGTCAGGTGGGGGCAGTGTCAGTGGTCAGTGTGTCAGGTGGGGGCAGTGGTGGTCAGGTGGGGGCAGTGGTGTCAGGTGGGGGGCAGTGGTGTCAGTGGGGGCAGGTGGGGCAGTGGTGCAGGTGGGCAGGTGGGGGGCAGTGGTGTCAGGTGGGGGTGGTGGTCAGTGGTGGTCAGGTGGGGGCAGTGGTGTCAGGTGGGGGCAGTGGTGCAGGTGGGGCAGTGGTGTCAGGTGGGGCAGGTGGGGGGCAGTGGGGGCAGTGTGGGGGGCAGTGGTGTCAGGTGGGGCAGGTGGGGCAGTGGGCAGGCAGGTGGGCAGGTGGGGGGCAGGTGTCAGGTGGGGGGCAGTGGTGCAGGGGCAGTCAGTCAGTGGGGGGCAGTGGTGTGGGTGGGGGCAGTGGTGTCAGGTGGGGGGCAGTGGTGCAGGTGGGGCAGTGGGGGGTGGGGCTGAGAGGAGCTCCTCACGTTCTGCCCGTAGACGCCAGTCGTCCTGTAATAACCTGCGTCTGAGTCACGTCTGAACAGGCGAGTTTCACCTGACGTCATTGTTATTAAAAGTCTGCGTTGCTGCTGGGAAATATTCTGGTCGGAGGCAGAAACACGGTCGCGTCAAACACAGTGTGTAACCTCCTGTATTTATCCCTGATATGGTAAATTCCTGCTGCATTATCAGACGCACAAATAGAAACACGGAAGAAGGAAAATGTTTTTTTCATATTCTGAGTGAAAAGAACCACTAACAGTGAATTAAACGACTTTCAAACATCCGCAGAGCAAACGTAGAAGATCCTAACAAACCGTGGACTCAACAAGTTCAACAACACATCCAGACTCTTGGTCTCCGTTCAGTCTGCAGGTTTAACGCTCAATTTGTGAAATCTGATGTTTTTTCAGCTCGTTCACATTTCCAGTTAAATGTGACTTGTATGTGACTCCAGTGTGAACATTAAACGGTCCAAAAGTGTCCCACATGTGACACTGGAGACACGACGACGTCAACCGCAGCGAGCGTCTCTGTGTTTACACAAGTTGAACAAACATGGACGCAGCATCGAGCACCTGGAGATTTTAAAGTTCCTCTCGTACCGGAGCCACAACATGAACAACTGACTTGTTTTAAGGAGGAGATTGAGAAGGAGAAGGAGCAGGTTTTTGGTGGTGGTGTTTTGTGGTGAGTGGAGATGTGCTTCACTTCAGTCACATGGATCATGAACAGTTTTCTCTACTTCAGTGCAGAATAGTGACGTTTGTGTCTTGTTGATGACGTGTAGGTGGATGAATGTGACCTGACTGTTCACACTCAAGTCACATGTTAAAGATCAGATATGGATCAGTTTCAGGAGCACAGATCCAAGTGTCCTGGTCACATGTGAAAACATCACATCTGTGTGGTTCAGACATGAAAAGATCAGATACAGAAACATAGAGACAAAACATCTGATCACGTCACAGGAGAAAATCTGGATCAGACTCTGTGTCATGAACAGGATTTTTTTTACGAACAAAAAAGGGAAAAAAATTCTGGATCACGTGTGGCGAATTAATACAAACATTTAAGACCAAAATGTTGAAGCCACAACAGCAGGAACAGAGAGACGAGCCACAAGAGCCAAATGTGAGTCAGAAGGAGCCAGAAGAGCCTCCTGGAGAACTTCCTGTTTGGAACACGACGGTGACAGAGTTCGATCTGAACACTGAGACACACGGACGATGTGTCTGACTCATCGGCGTCGTTAGTTCAACCTGAAAAGTCGTAGTTGATCCTAAAGACGCCGACACAAACACGACTCTGACCCAAAAGTCACATTTTTAACAAATCTGCAGGAAAATAAGTCCAGAGACAGAAACACACTTGTGTTTTACACACAGTGACCCAGAGAATCAGGAGGAAAACGTGATTCTGGTGTTTAGTGGACCTTTAAAAAAATAAAGATCATGAATAAAACAGAAGGAACTTGTTCTCTCAGACTGATTCTACTGCAGACGTGTTCACACTTTTTCATCATGTGAGCTACTTTCAAAATGACCAAAGTCAAAATGATCGACCTGATACAAAGTCAAACAAACTGCACTGAAACACTCTGTGGCCCTTTTCTGGACCCTCCCCCACAGTTTGAGAACCTCTTCTTTAAGAGAACTTCCTCTGGCACTTTACACAAAACTGTGAAAAAAGTGAAGGAAGATTTTTTAAACCTGTTTTTTAAAGTTCAAAACTGGAGTTTCATTCTTTTGTGGTTTTGCAGTGATATTTACCAGCCTCTGCACGTTTACCAAACCAAACGCACATCGTGACAAACACAGATGCATTTGTCACTTTTGTTAGACAAACTTCAGCCAAATGTGGCAGTAGGTCTGTTCTGTAGATCCGCTCTATGCTGTAGACCTGCTTTGTGCCAACACTGGAACACAAATTTAGACTGGTTTTTGCTTCACGTTTGGTCTTGTTCTTCTAATCAGCCGCACTGTGGGAGGGGCTTGTGTTGGCTGTACGCAGGAAGGAGCGAGAGCGTGAAAAGGCGAGGGGCGGCGTGCTGACGTGAGGCAGGTGGACAGGTAGGATGTTTAGGAAGTTGAACCTGCCCTGTGATGCACGCTGGTACACGAGGGCACACGCTGTCGCAGACGAGCCGTGCATAGGGAGCGTGTGTGTTTGTGATGCGCCGTAGAGTCTCCGCGGGTTTCAAATGAGCGCACAGGCTGCACTGAGACGCCCCACACGCTCCTGCACCCGCTACAAGTACTACTACTACTACTACTACTACTACTTCTACCACCGAGTACTACAACAGGTACCACACGCTCCTGCACCCGCTACAAGTACTACTACTACTACTACTACACTTCTACCACCGAGTACTACAACAGGTACCACACGCTCCTGCACCCGCTACAAGTTTATTACCAACAGCAGCGGCCGGAATGAAATATGATCACACTTGTTGAGTGTCAAACCTCGAGTGAGAGACAAGACCGAGTCCAAACACGAGTCCGAGACGAGACACGACGATCTACCCACACGACCTTGGAGATCGACTGGTAGATCGACATCCACTGATTTACTGTTACAATTAAAAATGGATTTACTGATGTGGAGATTTGCAGAAACAGATTTGTTCAGTTGGATTTGTGAACATCAAACTGCACAAACGTGTCGACGCTAATATCAACATCATCAAACAGAAGAATGTTCCACAAGCTCCACAAACCTCCTCGTCTGTTCTACTTTACCATGAAACATCCTGAAGTTAAACCTGGACTCGTGAAGGTGTGTGGAGTTTAAAAACACAGTGGAGCACTTCCTGTATGACCACATGATGACATCACCAGGTGGAGCCGGGTGTGAGTACCTCTGATGAGCGACAGGACCGTGGTCGGCAGGCGTCGCTTCGAGGTGGAGTGAAGACACGAGTAGAACCCGACGTCCTCCACAGACGCCCGGAGAACCCACAGAGAACAGTCGCCATGGAGACGGACCCGACCGGAACCGTCCAGCTGGAACCGAAACAGAACCACGTGAACACAAACGGAACCACACACAGAACCACACACAGAACCACACACAGAACCACACACAGAACCACACAGAACCACACACAGAACCACACACAGAACCACACACAGAACCACACACAGAACCACACACAGAACCACACAGAACCACACACAGAACCACACAGAACCACACACAGAACCACACACAGAACCACACAGAACCACACACAGAACCACACAGAACCACACAGAACCACACAGAACCACACACAGAACCACACACAGAACCACACAGAACCACACACACACACAGAACCACACACAGAACCACACACAGAACCACACAGAACCACACACAGAACCACACACAGAACCACACACACACACAGAACCACACACACACACAGAACCACACATCACACAGAACCACACACAGAACCACACACACACACGAACCACACACAGAACCACACACAGAACCACACAGAACACAGAACCACACACACACAGAACCACACACACAGAACCACACACACACACGAACCACACACCACATCACACAGAACCACACACAGAACCACACAGAACCACACAGAACCACACACAGAACCACAGACTCTCCGCTCTGAGACCGACCTGACCCTGTCGGACCAACACTCTGTCCTGGTCCGTCTGTGTAGAGTTCTGGGTTCTTCTGAAGACCCAGGAGACCCGTCCACAGTCCGAGTTCTGCTTCTTCAGACCGGGACAGGGCAGGACCGCTCTGGACCCGGACGGAACCACCACGGCCGGATCCACAGCACCAGAACCTGAAAGAGAAGAACAAGAAGAACAAGAAGAACAACTCAGCTGAGAACATAGAACAGAGGAGCAGAGTTTCAGATTCAAAAACTGGGACTGGACGTTTTTCTGCAGTTTTTCTGTCTTTCCTGTGCACAGAGCAGAATCTGCATCAGGATCCAAACTTTACATCAAAAGTCACATTTAAAAACTCAGATGAAGCAGACGTCTGATGGAAGATCACAGACCAGAGCTCAACACGTAAGAATGAATCATCAGATTGATTCATGCGCAGATCCTCAAAACCACCAACACTAAATATGAAACATATATAAATATAAATTATATATATATATATATGTATAGTTTTTTTTCTCGTTTTTGTTTTATTTATTTAAAAGGGACAATACATATTCATGAACATAAACTTGTAAATACACCAGAATTAACCCGAAGGTTCTTTTCATCTGTCGTCCTGCAGCTCAGAGACACAGACATAAAACATAAAATATAAAATAAAAAACACGTCACCACAGACAAACACACAAACATGACACACAACAGTGACATTCACACAGGAGCAGAACATTAGTGTCACAGATCTAGTTTCTCTTAAGCTTCGTTTCAGTTCACTTTTGTAAAATGTCTTTGTTTGCATCAATCAAAATCATTAATTCTTACCACAGATTTGCAGCAGAACGACGACACAGCAGCACGTCTGGGCCCACGACGACGTCCTCACCCACAACGACGTCCTCGCCCACACGACGTCCTCGCCCACCACGACGCCTCGCCCACCCACGACGTCCTCGCCCACCACGACGTCCTCGCCCACCACGACGTCCTCGCCCACCACGACGTCCTCGCCCACCACGACGTCCTCACTGTGCTCCTCACCGCGCTCATCGTGTCCTTCATCTCTGTCTCGGTGTCTCGGTGTGTCTGTGTTTTGGTGCTGTGTCTCGTGCTTTTTAAAGTCCTCGTGAGGTGTTCACTTCCTGTCCTCGTGAGGTGTTCACTTCCTGTCCTCGTGTGGGGATTTTCGCCGCTGACGTCAGGTTTGGAGAAGTGAGAAACATGATCAGGGTCTGATTCAAACTGAAGCTCGTTTTACTGTAAAACTGAGAGAACTTCACCTGCTCTGCAGAAGAAACGAGCCTTTTATGGAGAACAGGGTTAGACCTGGTTCAGTTCTGGTTTAGACCTGGTTCAGTTCTGGTTTAGACCTGGTTCAGTTCTGGTTTAGACCTGGTTCAGTTCTGGTTTAGACCTGGTTTATGAATTAATTTGAAGTTGAACATTTTTATGAAAAGTCTCTTGAGCTGCAGCGTCTCGTTTTCACGGGGACAAAGAACATGAACCTGGTCAAACAGAAGTAAACAACAAGACCAAAACTTCCAGTGAATTCATCTGATCTAAAAGTGTATTGAACAGATACATATGTACTCGAGTTTATCAAACTGTTCACCTTTTTTCTGTTCCATTTTTGGTTCTAAAGTTCCATCTGTTTTAAACAGACCATGAATGAAACATGGAACAAAAATTATTTCTCAGATTTCAAAGACCCAAAAATAAAATGTTTGTATTTCATCATATCTTGTGTTATTCCATCTTTGAACTGTTGATGAAGGGACAGGATTTAAAAAAAAAAAGTATTTAAAAATGATAAAAAATGTTCTTGGAAGGACTGACATATTTTATAGAAATAGTTTCTTTCATTTTGAAGTAATATTAAAGTTTTCAGAAGAAAAAAGCCACAAATGATGTAAAATCCTGCACCTTCTACTTGTTTGTACAATTTTCCTCCGTTACTTTTCCCTCCGTTACCATGAACTTTCTTAATAAAAAATCTCATGAGTCAAAAAGTCAGAGGTTTTTCAACCTAATCTTGTACCATATGGTAGAAAACTATATGAAGCAAATATTCAAACCAGTTTGTTAAGGATATGTAAGTGAGAACCAAGAGTTATCACTGTTTGGATTTATTGACCAAAAAGTGCTGCATATTTCATTCCCTCCGTTACCAACATGAGTTTTTACATTTTTTGTGTTGAACTTGAAAGAATCTCACAGGTTTAACTTGACCCTGTTGGAGTGTAACTCTTTCCTACATTCTGATACTTTACTTATTTCAATAGTTCCTCTAGTTTCTGAATAAGAGACATTTGAATGTCAAAAATCTGACCCTGTTTCCTCCAGTTTACGCTAATAAAAAAAATCCCATTAAATTAATATTTTGTTGTTCACATTTTGCAAAGTAATTCATTTTCTGTTTTAGTTGGTGACATCTAAAAATATGACTGAGGTGAAGCAACGTTTTTATGTCCCAACTTCAACATGAAACTCAACAATATTTATTGACTTGAACCAATTTCCTCCACACTAAAGTCTGACTGTTTAGACCTGATCTAGTCCTGGTTTAGTCCTGGTTTAGTCCTGGTTTAGTCCTGGTTTAGACCTGGTTTAGACCTGGTTTAGTCCTGGTTTAGACCTGGTTTAGTCCTGGTTAGTCCTGGTTTAGTCCTGGTTTAGACCTGGTTTGGACCTGGTTTAGTCCTGGTTTAGTCCTGGTTTAGTTCTGTTTTAGTCCTGGTTTAGTCCTGGTTTAGACCAGGTTTAGTCCTGGTTTAGACCAGGTTTAGTCCTGGTTTAGACCTGGTTTAGTTCTGTTTTAGTCTGAAATGATCTAATTTATGTGAAATGACTCATGTCCTGTGTCCTAGCTCCTATCTCCTTCCCTTCATACCTCCTAGCTCCTATCTCCTTCCCTTCATACCTCCTAGCTCCTATCTCCTTCCCTTCATACCTCCTAGCTCCTATCTCCTTCCCTTCATGCCTCCTAGCTCCTATCTCCTTCCCTTCATACCTCCTAGCTCCTATCTCCTAGCACCTGATAAAGGGAGCATCTTCTCTCCTTTAAAGGAAACTAACACCTCAGGCCTCGCTCAAGTCCTGGGCCGGTCCTGGTCTGGTCCTGGTCCTGCTTTGGTCTGGTCCTGGTCTGGTCTGGTCTGGTCCTGGTCTGGTCCTGGTCCTGGTCCTGGTCCTGCTTTGGTCTGGTCCTGCTTTGGTCCGGTCCTGGTCTGGTCCTGGTCCTGGTCTGGTCTGGTCTGGTCTGGTCCTGGTCTGGTCTGGTCTGGTCCTGGTCCTGCTTTGGTCTGGTCCTGCTTTGGTCCGGTCCTGGTCTGGTCCTGCTTTGGTCTGGTCCTGGTCTGGTCCTGGTCCTGCTTTGGTCCAGTCCTGGTCTGGTCCTGGTCCTGCTTTGGTCTGGTCCTGGTCCGGTCCTGGTCTGGTCCTGCTTTGGTCCTGCTTTGGTCCGGTCCTGGTCTGGTCTTGGTCTTATCTGTTCATTCTGAGAAACACAGTGACTCTTGACCGTCTGTGATCTTCCTCTTCTTCAGTGATGGACCTGGTTTAGTCCTGGTTTAGTCCTGGTTTGGGATCAGTTCTAGTTGAAGACCTGGTTTAGTCCCAGTCCTGGTTTAGACCTTGGCTCTGGTGGGGTCTTGTGCTTCTCTCTGGGTCCTCATCTGTGGTTTTGGTTCAGTCCTGGACAAATCCTAGTCCTGGTTTATGGTCCTGTTCACTTCAGTGTTAATCCTGGTTCAAACCTGGTTTAGTCCTGGTTTAGTCCTGGTTTAGTTCTGGTTTAGTTCTGGTTTAGTCCTGGTTTAGTCCTGGTTTAGTCCTGGTTTAGTCCTGGTTTAGTCCTGGTTTGGTTGGATTCGGTCCCAGTGGGAGGGGCGAGGGGAGGTCCTGGTTCAGTCCTGGTTTAAAACCCAGAGCCCAGACTTGGTCTCAGTCTGGTCTGTGGGTCAGATCTTCTGTTCAACTTCAGGTCGTCTCGTGGAATCTTCTTCTTCTTCTTCTGTGGTGAGTTTGGTCTCTTCTTCCTCCTCCACTCGTCCTTCATCAAACCGTAGAACTTTAGTTTCTGTTCCCACCAGTCCTAAACCAGGACTAAACCAGGACTAAACCAGGACTAAACCAGGTCTAAACCAGGACTAAACCAGGTCTAAACCAGGACTAAACCAAACCAGGACTAAACCAGGTCTAAACCAGGACTAAACCAGGTCTAAACCAGGACTAAACCAGGTCTAAACCAGGACTAAACCAGGACTAAACCAGGACTAAACCAGGTCTAAACCAGGACTAAACCAGTTCTAAACCAGGACTAAACCAGGTCTAAACCAGGACTAAAACCAGGTCTAAACCAGGACTAAACCAGGTTAAACCAGGTCTAACCAGGACTAAACCAGAAACCAGGACTAAACCAGGACTAAACCAGGTCTAAAACCAGGTCTAAACCAGGACTAAACCAGGTCTAAACCAGGTCTAAACCAGGTCTAAACCAGGTAAAAACCAGGACTAAACCAGGTCTAAACCAGGATGAAACCAGGACTAAACCAGGACTAAACCAGGACTAAACCAGGTCTAAACCAGGTCTAAACCAGGACTAAACCAGGTCCATGAATGTAGACTAGTCTCTGTGTCTTATTCTTGTTCAGTTCCAGTTTGTTCTAAACACATTCAGGAAAGGTTCTAAAGGTTCTAAAGGTTCTGTTCTGTCAGTGGGACAGTTTTAGGATCTAGTTTGGATGAGTTTTTGTGTCTGATGTTTGATGGTTTTGATAAACTGTAGACGTTTGTCGGTTGTAGCTTCAGTTTGAGATTCTCACTTCATCTTTTACTTTGAGAAAAAATTATATTCATCAAACTTCAGGTTCTAAAAAAAAAATATATATATATATATTTCAACATAAAAGTTTGTGTTTAACTGCAGAATAAAACAAGAACAGTTCTGCTCCTCGTCTCCTCCTCTGTCTGACCTTGTGCCTCTGAGCCTCACACTTCTGTCAGACACAGAGTGTGGAGCCTCGTCTGTCATAAACCCTCCAGTTTATATCTTCTAGTTCTAAAGAGTCACTCTTAGAATATTAATATTAATATTAATATTGATTAAAGGTGTTATTATTTTGGTCTGTTCTGTGTCGGTCGAGCTCAGAGACGCGTCTCAATAACAGAATTATTATTATTAAAGTTGTTATTATTATGTGTCTAAAGTTAATGTTAATATCATAATATGATTTATTATTATGAATTATTGTTCAAACATGATGATGTGATTATTTATGACCTGTTCTTGTGCTTCAGGTCATGGCGGACGGGCTGATGTCGGAGTTCGGAAAAGCGGCTCCGTTCCTTCGTAAGTCGGAGCGCGAGCGTCTGGAGGCGCAGACTCGTCCCTTCGACATAAAGACCGAGTGTTTCGTGGTGGACGATAAAGTGGAGTACGTGAAGGCGACCATCAAGAGCCGGGAGGCGGGGACGGTCACCGTGACGACGGAGACGGGCGACACTCGGACCGTGAAGGACACGCAGGTCCATCCTCAGAACCCGCCCAAGTTCGATAAGATCGAGGACATGGCCATGTTCACGTTCCTCCACGAACCGGCCGTCCTCTTTAACCTGAAGGAGCGTTACGCCGCCTGGATGATCTACACCTACTCCGGCCTCTTCTGCGTCACCGTCAACCCGTACAAATGGCTGCCGGTGTACGACGCCGAGGTGGTGGCGGCGTATCGCGGCAAGAAGCGCAGCGAAGCCCCGCCCCACATCTTCTCCATCTCCGATAACGCGTACCAGTACATGCTGACGGACCGCGAGAACCAGTCCGTGCTCATCACCGGAGAATCCGGCGCCGGAAAAACCGTCAACACCAAACGCGTCATCCAATACTTCGCCAGCATCGCCGCAGTGGGCGGAGCCAGCAAGAAGGACCAGAACAAGGGCACCTTGGAGGATCAAATCATCCAGGCCAACCCCGCCCTCGAGGCCTTCGGGAACGCCAAAACCGTACGAAACGACAACTCCTCTCGCTTCGGAAAGTTCATCCGGATCCACTTCGGCACCAGCGGAAAACTGTCGTCCGCCGACATCGAGACGTACCTCCTGGAGAAGTCCAGAGTCACGTTCCAGCTCAAAGCCGAGAGGAACTACCACATCTTCTACCAGATTATGTCCAACCAGAAGCCCGAGCTCCTGGAGCAGCTGCTCATCACCACAAACCCGTACGATTACTCGTACACGTCTCAGGGGGAGGTCACCGTCGCCTCCATCAACGACGCCGACGAGCTCATGGCCACGGACAGCGCCTTCGACGTCCTGGGCTTCACCGCCGAGGAGAAGGCGACGGTCTACAAACTGACCGGCGCCATCATGCACTACGGCAACATGAAGTTCAAACAGAAGCAGCGCGAGGAGCAGGCGGAGCCCGACGGCACAGAGTCCGCCGATAAGTCCGCCTTCCTCATGGGGCTGAACTCGGCCGACCTGATCAAAGGCTTGTGCCACCCGCGGGTCAAAGTGGGAAACGAGTACGTGACCAAAGGTCAGAGCGTGGACCAGGTCTACTACTCCATCGGGGCGCTCGCCAAGTCCGTCTACGAGAAGATGTTCAACTGGATGGTGGTGCGCATCAACCACAGCCTGGACACCAAGCAGCACCGCCAGTACTTCATCGGGGTGCTGGACATCGCCGGCTTCGAGATCTTCGACTTCAACACCTTCGAGCAGCTCTGCATCAACTACACCAACGAGAAGCTCCAGCAGTTCTTCAACCACCACATGTTTGTGCTGGAGCAGGAGGAGTACAAGAAGGAGGGCATCGACTGGGAGTTCATCGACTTCGGCATGGACCTGCAGGCCTGCATCGACCTGATCGAGAAGCCGCTGGGGATCCTGTCCATCCTGGAGGAGGAGTGCATGTTCCCCAAGGCCAGCGACCAGACCTTCAAGGCCAAACTGTACGACAACCACCTGGGCAAGAACAAGATGTTTGAGAAGCCGCGCGCTGCCAAAGGCAAAGCCGAGGCGCACTTTGCCCTGGTGCACTACGCCGGCACCGTCGATTACAACATCACCAACTGGCTGGTGAAGAACAAAGACCCTCTGAACGAGACGGTGGTGGGTCTGTACCAGAAGTCTTCTCTGAAGCTGCTCAGTCTGCTCTTCTCAAACTACGCCGGCTCCGAGGGCGGAGACAAGGGCGGGAAAGGCACCAAAAAGAAGGGCTCCTCGTTCCAAACGGTGTCGGCGCTTCACCGAGAAAACCTGAACAAGCTCATGAATAACCTGAAGACCACACACCCGCACTTCGTCCGCTGCCTCATCCCCAACGAGTCCAAGACTCCGGGCATCATGGACAACTGCCTGGTGCTGCACCAGCTGCGCTGTAACGGCGTCCTGGAGGGAATCCGGATCTGCAGGAAGGGATTCCCCAACCGCGTCCTGTACGGCGACTTCAAGCAGCGATATCGCATCCTGAACGCCGCCGCCATCCCTGAGGGGACCTTCATGGACTGTAAGAAGAGCGCCGAGAAGCTGCTGGGCTCCCTGGACATCGACCACACGCAGTACAAGTTTGGACACACCAAGGTGTTCTTCAAGGCGGGCCTCCTGGGGACTCTGGAGGAGATGAGAGACGAGCAGCTGTCTCGCATCATCACGCGTCTCCAGGCCAACGCTCGCGCTCTCCTCATGAGGGAACTTTTCGCCCGGATGGTCGAGCGCAGAGACGCACTGATGGTCATCCAGTGGAACCTGCGCTCCTTCCTCGGAGTGAAGAACTGGCCCTGGATGAAACTCTTCTTCAAGATCAAGCCTCTGCTGAAGAGCGCCGAGGCGGAGAAGGAGATGGCCAACATCAAGGACGAGTTCAAACGCGTGAAGGAAGCTCTGGAGAAATCTGAGGCGCGACGCAAAGAGCTGGAGGAGAAGATGGTGGGTCTGATCCAGGAGAAGAACGACCTGACTCTGCAGATCCAGTCCGAGCAGGACACGCTCTCGGACGCGGAGGAACGCTGCGAGCAGCTCATCAAGAGCAAGATCCAACTGGAGTCCAAACTGAAGGAGCTGAACGAGCGTCTGGAGGACGAGGAGGAGGTGAACGCCGACCTCACCTCCAAGAAACGCAAACTGGAAGACGAGTGCGCTGAGCTGAAGAGGGACATCGACGACCTGGAGCTCACACTCGCCAAAGTGGAGAAAGAGAAACACGCCACGGAGAACAAAGTGAAGAACCTGACGGAGGAGATGGCCGCTCAGGACGAGAACATCCTCAAACTCACCAGAGAAAAGAAAGCTCTGCAGGTACGACGGGGAGGAGAGGAACGAGGGAGGGAGGAGAGAGGAGAGGAACGAGGGAGGGAGGAGAGAGGAGTGGAGGGAGGGAGAGGAACGAGGGAGGAGAGGAGAGGAGGAGGGAGAGGAGAGGAGAGGAGAGGAGGGAGGAGAGGGAGGAGGGAAGGAGAGGGAAGGAGGGAGGAGAGGCAGAGGGAAGAGGGTACAAGAAAGGAGGAGATGAAAGAGAGAGAGACGAAAGAGGGAAGGAACAAGAGGGGAGAAGAGCAGAAGAAAAGAGAAAAGAAGAGAGGAGGAGAGGAAAAAAGGAGAGGGAAGGAAATGAAGGAAAGAGAAAGAAGAAAGAGACAGAAGAAACAGGAGGAGAGAGAGAGTGGAAAAGGAGAGGAGAAAGGGAGGATAGAGAGTCTGATGATGTTGCTGTTGTTCTCTTCTTCTCCTGGTCCTGTTCTTGTGTAACTGAAGGTTCTTTGGTTCTCTGGTTCTTTTGGTTCCTCGGTTCTCAGGAGGCGCAGCAGCAAACTCTGGACGACCTGCAGAGTGAAGAAGACAAATGCAACGCCCTGAACAAAGCCAAGCTGAAGCTGGAGCAGCAGGTGGACGACCTGGAGGGAGCTCTGGAGCAGGAGAAGAAGGTCCGCATGGAGGTGGAGAGGAGCCGACGGAAACTGGAGGGAGACCTGAAGCTCCTGCAGGAGAACCTCATGGACCTGGAGAACGAGAAGCAGCAGCTCGAGGAGAAGAACAAGAAGAAAGAGTTTGAGCTGAACCAGATGAGCGACCGACTGGAGCAAGAACAAGCGGCAGGAACCCAACTCAGCAAGAGGCTCAAGGTACGAGAACGAGATCTAAACCAGGACTAAAACAGGTCTAGACCAGGACTAAACGTGTGTGTGTTTCAGGAGAGCCAGGCTCGTCTGGAGGAGCTGGAGGAAGAGCTGGAGGCAGAACGTTCGTCTCGGGCCAAAGTGGAGAAGCAGCGTTCGGACCTGAGCCGCGAGCTGGAGGATCTGAGCGAGCGTCTGGAGCAGGCGGGCGGAGCCACCAGCGCCCAACTCGAGATGAACAAGAGACGAGACGCCGAGTTCCAGAAGCTCCGACGAGAACTGGAGGAGGTCACGCTCCAGAACGAGTCCACCAGCGCCACCCTCAGGAAGAAGCACGCGGACGCCGTCGCCGAACTCGGGGAACAGATCGACAACCTGCAGAGAGGTACAGAGGGACCTGACACACACACACGAGGGACCTGACACACAGGAGGGCATCTGAGGTCCTCTGAGGTCCTCTGAGGTCCTCTGAGGTCCTCTGATGGTCCTCTGAGGTCCTCTGAGGTCCTCTGAGTCTCTGATGGTCCTCTGAGGTCCTCTGAAGTCCTCTATGGTCCTCTGAGGTCCTCTGAGGCCCTCTGAGGTCCTCTGAAGGTCCTCTGAGGTCCTCTGAGGTCTCTGAGGTCCTCTCTGAAGTCCTCTGATGGTCCTCTATGGTCCTCTATGGTCCTCTGAGGTCCTCTGAGGTCCTCTGAGTCTCTGAAGTCCTCTGAGGTCCTCTGAGGTCCTCTGAGTCTCTGTCCTCTGAGGTCCTCTGGTCCTCTGAGGTCCTCTGAGGTCCTCTGAGGTCCTCTGAGTCCTCTGAGGTCCTCTGAGGTCCTCTGAGGTCCTCTATGGTCCTCTATGGTCCTCTGAGGCCCTCTGAGGTCCTCTGAAGTCCTCTGAGGTCCTCTGAAGTCCTCTATGGTCCTCTGAGGTCCTCTGAAGTCCTCTGAGGTCCTCTGAAGTCCTCTGAGGTCCTCTGAAGTCCTCTGAGGTCCTCTGAAGTCCTCTGAGGTCCTCTATGGTCCTCTATGGTCCTCTGAGGTCCTCTGAAGTCCTCTATGGTCCTCTGAGGTCCTCTGAGGCCCTCTGAGGTCCTCTGAAGTCCTCTGAGGTCCTCTGAGGTCCTCTGAGGTCCTCTGAGTCCTCTGAGGTCCTCTGAAGTCCTCTGAGTCCTCTGAGTCCTCTGAAGTCCTCTGAGGTCCTCTGAAGTCCTCTGAGGTCCTCTGAGGTCCTCTGAGGTCCTCTAAGGTCCTCTGAGGTCCTCTGAGGTCCTCTGAGTCCTCTGAGTCCTCTGAGGTCCTCTGAGTCCTCTGAGGTCCTGAGTCCTCTGAGTCCTCTGAGTCCTCTGAGGTCCTCTGAGTCCTCTGAGGTCCTCTGAAGTCCTCTGAGGTCCTCTGAGGTCCTCTGAGGTCCTCTGAAGTCCTCTGAGTCCTCTGAGGTCCTCTGAAGTCCTCTGAGGTCCTGTGTGGTCTCCTCAGTGAAGCAGAAGTTGGAGAAGGAGAAGGCGGAGCTGCGTGTGGAGCTGGAGGACGTGAGCTCCAACCTGGAGCTGGTGGTTCGCGCCAAAGCCAACGCGGAGAAAACGGCGCGCGCCAACGAAGACGCCGCCAACGAGCTGCGCAGCCGCCTGGACGAGAGCCAGAGGGCGCTGTCCGACGCCCAGAGCGCCAACGCCAAACTCAGCGCCGAGAACCTGGAGCTCCAGAGAGAACGAGAAGAACGAGAAGTTCTCCTGAGCCAGACCAACCGCGCCAAGAACGCCTACAGCCAGCAGGTCTGGACCAGGACCTGGACCAGGACCAGACCAGGACTAGACCAGGACCAGGACCAGACTGGACCAAGACCGAACAAGACTGGGACTGGACTAGGACCAGAACCCAAACCTAAACCCGGTCTCTGGTCTGTGTGGTCTTTCTCTGTGGCGTCAGATGGAGGAGCTCCGGGCGCAGATGGAGGAGGAGTCAAAGGCGAAGGTTTCTCTGGCTCACGCCGTCCAGTCGGCGCGTCACGACTGCGAGCTCCTGCGGGAGCAGCTGGAGGAGGAGCAGGAGGCGCGAGCTCAACTCCAGAGACTCTTGTCCAAGAGCAACGCCGACGCCCAAACCTGGAGGAACCGATACGAGACGGAAGGTCTGCAGAGGAGCGAGGAGCTCGAGGAAGCCAAGAAGAAACTCGTCCAGAGGCTCCAGGTACAACGACAACCACATGACAACACACGGCCAATCAGGAGCCAGGCTGCTCAAGGCTACGCCCCCTCACACAACGCTGTCAATCAAACCTGTGGGAGGGGCCTCGGAGAAAGAAGGCGTCTGATTGGTCCGTTACTGTTACTGTTCATGTTCATGTCTGGGATAAAATGTGAACGTCCAAACCCCACGACACACGTGTGTGTGTGTGTGTGTGTTTGTGTGTGTTGTGCGTCTCACTGTGTGTTGTGTGTGTTTGTGTGTGTTTTGTGTGCGTCTCACCTGTGTGTTGTGTGTGTGTTTTGTGCGTCTCACGTGTGTGTTGTGTTGTTGTGTGTGTTTTGTGCGTCTCACGTGTGTGTTGTGTGTGTGTGTTTTGTGCGTCTCACCTGTGTGTGTGTGTGTTTGTGTGTGTTTGTGCGTCTCACCTGTGTGTTGTGTGTGTTGTGTGTTTTGTGCGTCTCACGTGTGTGTTGTGTGTGTGTGTGTTTTGTGTGTCGTCTCACCTGTGTGTTGTGTGTTTTGTGTGTGTTTTGTGCGTCTCACGTGTGTGTTTTGTGTGTGTTTTGTGCGTCTCACTGTGTGTGTTGTGTGTTTTGTGTGTTTTTGTGCGTCTCACCTGTGTGTGTGTGTGTTGTGTGTGTTTTGTGCGTCTCACGTGTGTGTTTTGTGTGTGTTTTGTGCGTCAGGAGGCTGAAGAGGCTGTTGAGGCCGTCAACTCTAAATCTTGTTCTTTGGAGAAAACTAAAGTTCGTCTCCAGACGGAGATCGAGGATCTGATGGTCGATCTGGAACGTTCCAACGCCGCCGCCGCCGCCTTAGACCGGAAACAACGCAACTTCGACAAGGTCTCACAAAACTACAGTACTTCAGTACACACAGTACTGCAGTACACACAGTACTGCAGTACACACAGTACTGCAGTACACACAGTACACACAGTACTGCAGTACACACAGTACACACAGTACTGCAGTACACACAGTACACAGTACAGTACACACAGTACACACAGTACACACAGTACTGCAGTACACACAGTACACACAGTACTACAGTACACACAGTACACACACAGTACACACAGTACTGCAGTACACACAGTACACACAGTACACACAGTACACACAGTACTGCAGTACACACAGTACACACAGTACTTCAGTACCTTTACAGTTCAAACTGCAGACACTTTGTCATTAACACAAGTCTTTGTGTTAATGACATTTCTCTGTTTCAGCTGCTCCACGATTCAGTGTGACTTTTATTCAGTTCATCTTCTGCAGATCTTCTGCGGTGACCTTTGACCTGTGGCGTTTCTTCTGCGGTGACCTTTGACCTGTGGCGTTTCTTCTGCAGGTCTTGAGCGAGTGGAAGCAGAAGTTGGAGGAGGCTCAGTCTGAGCTGGAGGCGTCTCAGAAGGAGTCTCGTTCTCTGAGCACGGAGCTCTTCAAACTGAAGAACTCGTACGAGGAGGCGCTGGACCAGCTGGAGACCATGAAGAGGGAGAACAAGAACCTTCAGGAGGAGGTGTCGGAGCTGACGGAGCGTCTGGGCGAGGGCGGGCGCAGCGCCCACGAGCTCGACAAACTGAGGAAAGCTCTTCTCCAGGAGAAGCAGGACCTGCAGAACGCGCTGGAGGAGGCCGAGGCCACGCTGGAGCACCAGGAGACCAAGATCCTCCGCCTGCAGCTGGAGTTCGGACAAACGCGAGCGGATCTGGAGAGGAAGATCTCGGAGAAGGACCAGGAGATGGACCAGGCCAAACGTAACCAGCAGAGGGCGCTGGAGTCCCTGCAGAGCGCCCTGGAGGCCGAGACGCGCAGCCGCAACGAAGCTCTGAGGGTGAAGAAGAAGATGGAGGCGGATCTGAACGAGATGGAGCTTCAGCTGAACCAGGCGACGCGCGGCGCGGCCGAGGCCACGCGGCAGCTCAAGGCCCTGCAGGGGGCGCTGTCCGACACGCAGCTGCTCCTGGACGAGGCCCGACACGAGGCAGAAGGTCAGAAGGAGAACGCCGCGCTGAGCGAGAGGAGGAACGTGCTGCTTCAGGCCGAGCTGGAGGAGCTGCGCGCGGCGCTCGAACAAACCGACCGCTGCCGAAAACTCGCCGAACAAGAACTGAGCGACGCCGCCGAGAGGACGCAGCTCCTGCACGCGCAGAACACCTCCCTCATCCACCAGAAGAAGAAGGCCGAGGCCGACCTGAGCGCGCTCCAGGGCGAGCTGGAGGACGCCGTCCAGGAGAACAGGAACGCCGAGGACAAAGCCCGAAAAGCCCTGACGGACGCCGCCATGATGGCGGAGGAGCTGAAGAAGGAGCAGGACCTGAGCGCCCACCTGGAGAGGATGAAGAAGAACATGGAGGCCACCATCAGAGACCTGCAGCAGCGTCTGGACGAGGCCGAGCAGAGCGCCTCCAAAGGAGGACGAAAGCAACTGCAGCGACTGGAGGCGCGGATCCGCGACCTGGAGGCGGAGCTGGAGGCGGAGCAGAAGAGGGGGGCGGAGTCTGTGAAGGGAATCAGGAAGTACGAGCGACGAATCAAAGAGCTGACGTACCAGAGCGAAGAAGAACGAAAGAACACGACGAGACTGCAGGTAAGACCCGGACCCGGACCCGGACCAGGACCCGGACCAGGACCAGGACCAGGACCAAAAACACAACAAGACCAGGTAAGACCGGACCCGGACCCGGACCAGGACCCGGACCAGGACCAGACCAGGACCAGGACCAGGACCAGGACCAAACACGACGAGACTGCAGGTAAGACCCGGACCCGGACCCGGACCAGGACCAGGACCAGGACCAGGACCAGGACCAAACACAACAAGACTGCAGGTAAGACCCGGACCTGGACCAGGACCAGGACCCGGACCAGGACCAAGACCAGGACCAAACACAACAAGACTGCAGGTAAGACCCGGACCTGGACCCAGACCTGGACCAGGACCAAGACCAGGACCAAACACAACAAGACTGCAGGTAAGACCCGGACCTGGACCAAGACCCGGACCCGGACCAGGACCAGGACCGATTCAGACCAACTCAGACCGGGTTTAGACCTGGTTTAGTTTTGGTTTAGATCTGATCTGGTTTTGGGACCTGTCTTTGACCCGGTTCTGGTTCTGGTCTGGTTCTAGGACCTGGTGGAGAAGCTGCAGCTGAAGCTCAAGTCGTACAAACGTTCTCTGGAGGAGGCGGAGCTTGAGGCGAACAGCAGCGCGGCCAAACAGCGCCACCTGCAGAACGAACTGGAGCAGGCGCAGGAACGAGCCGACGCCGCCGAGACTCAGGTCAACAAACTCAGGTCCAAGACCCGGGACCGCGGCCTGGACCAGGACTAGACCAGGGTCCGGATCAGGGTCTGGACCAGGACCAGAGAGAGACCAGACCAGGTGAGAAACAAGACCACACCCAGAACTAAACCAGGACTAATCCGGGACTAGACCGGGACTAGACCAGGACTAAACCGGGACTAAACCAGGACTAGACCAGGACTAGACCGAGACTAGACCGGGACTAGACCGGGACTAGACAGGACTAGGACACCAGGACTAAACCGACTAAACCAGGACTAGACTAGGACTAAACTAGACAGGACTAGACTAACCAGGACTAACAGGACTAGACTAGACCAGGACTAAACCGACTAGGACACTAGACCAGACTAAACCGACTAAACGGACTAAACAGGACTAGGACTAAAAGGACCAGGACTAAACCACTAGGACAGGACTAAACCAGGACTAAAGGACTAAACCAGGACTAAACCAGGACTAAAACCAGGACTAAACCAGGACTAAACCAGGACTAGACCAGGACTAGACCAGATCTAAACCAGGACTAAACCAGGTCTAAACCAGGACTAAACCAGGACTAAACCAGGACTAAACCAGGACTAAATCAGGACTAGACCGGGACTAGACCGGGACTAAACCAGGACTAAACCTGTTCTGTGTTTCAGGTCTGGATCTTGGACTCGTTCTTCTTCTTCTTCTTCTTCGTTTCTGTTTAAAATGTTTAAAACAAAAAAAAAAATGATTAAAACTTTTATTTTTATTTCACTTTTCACAAATTCACTTTTTCACGTTTGATTTTGTGACAGAAATAAAATCACTGCAACAAAAAACCAACTGTCCCAAGTCTCTTTAACACGGTTTAGTCCTGGTTTAGACCTGGTTTAGTCCTGGTTTAGACCTGGTTTAGTCCTGGTTTAGTCCTGGTTTAGACCTGGTTTAGTCCTGGTTTAGACCTGGTTTAGACCTGGTTTCCTGGTTTAGTCCTGGTTTAGTCCTGGTTTAGTCCTGGTTTAGACCCTGGTTTAGTCCTGGTTTAGACCTGGTTTAGACCTGGTTTAGTCCTGGTTTAGTCCCTGGTTTAGTCCTGGTTTAGTCCTGGTTTAGTCCTGGTTTAGACCTGGTTTAGACCTGGTTTAGTCCTGGTTTAGACCTGGTTTAGTCCTGGTTTAGACCTGGTTTTAGACCTGGTTTAGTCCTGGTTTAGTCCTGGTTTAGACCTGGTTTAGACCTGGTTTAGACCTGGTTTTAGACCTGGTTTAGTCCTGGTTTAGACCTGGTTTAGACCTGGTTTTAGTCCTGGTTTAGACCTGGTTTTAGACCTGGTTTAGTCCTGGTTTAGACCTGGTTTAGACCTGGTTTAGTCCTGGTTTAGTCCTGGTTTAGACCTGGTTTAGTCCTGGTTTAGACCTGGTTTAGTCCTGGTTTAGTCCTGGTTTTAGACCTGGTTTAGTCCTGGTTTAGTCCTGGTTTAGTCCTGGTTTTAGACCTGGTTTAGTCCTGGTTTTAGTCCTGGTTTAGACCTGGTTTAGTCCTGGTTTAGTCCTGGTTTAGTCCTGGTTTAGTCCTGGTTTTAGACCTGGTTTAGTCCTGGTTTAGTCCTGGTTTAGACCTGGTTTTGTCCTGGTTTTAGTCCTGGTTTAGACCTGGTTTTAGTCCTGGTTTAGTCCTGGTTTTTGTCCTGGTTTAGTCCTGGTTTTAGTCCTGGTTTTAGTCCTGGTTTAGGTCCTGGTTTAGTCCTGGTTTAGTCCTGGTTTAGGGCCTTAGTCCTGGTTTTAGTCCTGGTTTAGTCCTGGTTTAGTCCTGGTTTAGTCCTGGTTTTAGTCCTGGGTTTAGTCCTGGTTTAGTCCTGGTTTTAGACCTGGTTTAGTCCTGGTTTAGTCCTGGTTTAGTCCTGGTTTAGAACCTGGTTTTAGACCTGGTTTTAGTCCTGGTTTTAGTCCTGGTTTAGTCCTGGTTTTAGACCTTGGTTTAGTCCTGGTTTAGTCCTGGTTTAGACCTGGTTTAGTCCTGGTTTAGTCCTGGTTTAGTCCTGGTTTAGAGGTTTAGTCCTGGTTTAGTCCTGGTTTAGTCCTGGTTTTAGACCTGGTTTAGTCCTGGTTTAGTCTGGTTTTAGTCCTGGTTTAGACCTGGTTTAGTCCTGGTTTAGTCCTGGTTTAGTCCTGGTTTTAGACCTGTTTACCTGGTTTTGTTTTAGTGGTTTTAGTCCTGGTGGTTTAGTCCTGGTTTTTTGTTAGTTGTTTTAGACCTGGTTTAGACCTGGTTTTAGTCTGGTTTAAGTCTGGTTTAGTTGTCCTGGTTAGTCCTGGTCCTGGTTTAGGGTCCTGGTTTAGTCCTGGTTTAGTCCTGGTTTAGTCCTGGTTTTAGACCTGGTTTAGTCCTGGTTTAGTCCTGGACTACAGGGGGGAGGTGGATTGTGGGTAATGTAGTTGTGACTCTGAGGGGGAGGGGCCACATCTGGGAATAGTTTGGAGCAGAGACGAGTCCAGACTGAACCGGGACTGAACCGGGACTACAACAGGACTACGGCAGACCAGAGCCGGCTCTAAACCTGGTCTAAAGCAGGACTCGGTCTGAACCAGGTCTACAGAACCGAACCACATGTGGACTGGTCCAAACCAGGACTAAAGAGGGACTAAGATGAGGTCCCTGTGGGCTGTGGTCCTGCTCCTGGTCTGGGTCTTGGATTTGGTCTGTGGTGAAGATGATCCAGACGTCTGCTCCTCCACGAGCGTCCGTGAGTCCAACTTCAACTACAAGAACAGTCCTGGTTTAGTCCTGGTTTAGACCTGGTTTAGTCCTGGTTTAGACCTGGTTTAGTCCTGGTTTAGTCCTGGTTTTAGTCCTGGTTTAGTCCTTTGTTTAGTCCTGGTTTAGTCCTTTCTTTAGTCCTGGTTTAGTCCTTTCTTTAGTCCTGGTTTAGTCCTTTGTTTAGTCCTGGTTTAGACCTGGTTTAGACTGGTTTAGACCTGGTTTAGACCCGGTTTAGACCCGGTTTAGACCTGGTTTAGACCCGGTTTAGACCCGGTTTAGTCCTGGTTTAGACCTGGTTTAGTCCTTTTTTAGTCCTGGTTTAGTCCTTTTTTAGTCCTGGTTTAGTCCTTTTTTAGACCCGGTTTAGACCTGGTTTAGTCCTGGTTTAGACTCGGTTTAGACCTGGTTTAGTCCTTTTTTAGTCCTGGTTTAGTCCTTTTTTAGTCCTGGTTTAGTCCTTTTTTAGACCCGGTTTAGACCTGGTTTAGTCCTGGTTTAGACCTGGTTTAGTCCTGGTTTAGACCTGGTTTAGACCTGGTTTAGAGACCTGGTTTAGTCCTGGTTTAGTCCTGGTTTGTTTTTAGACCTGGTTTAGTCCTGGTTTAGACCTGGTTTAGACTGGTTTACTGGTTAGAGTGGTTTAGACCTGGTTTAGTCCTGTTTAGACCTGGTTTAGACCTGGTTTAGACCTGGTTTAGTCCTGGTTTAGTCCTGGTTTACCTGGTTTAGACCTGGTTTAGACCTGGTTTAGACCTGGTTTAGTCCTGGTTTAGTCCTGGTTAGACCTGGTTTAGTTTTAGACCTGGTTTAGTCCTGGTTTAGACCTGGTTTTTCAGAGGATAATTTGCTGTAGTTTCCTGACACTTTTCCGTTCAGAGATAAACAGACACTTCCTGTGTGTGAATGAAAGACTAAACAAACCAGGACTAAACCAGGACTAAACCAGGACTAAACCAGGACCAAACAGACTAAGGTCTAAACTAAACCAGGTCTAAACCTAGGACTAAACCAGGACTAAACCAGGTCTAAACCGGACTAAACCAGGTCGTCTCACCTGTCTCACCTGTCTCTGTCTCACCTGTCTCACCTGTCTCACCTGTCTCACTGTCTCTACCTGTCTCACCTGTCTCACTGTCTGTCTCTCCTCTGTCTCACCTGTCTCACCTGTCTCTCTGTCTCACCTGTCTCTCTCTGTCTCTGTCTCACCTGTCTCTCTGTCTCACCTGTCTCACCTGTCTCACCTGTCTCACTGTCTCACTGTCTCACTGTCCACCTGTCTGTCTGTCTGTCTCACTGTCTGTCTCACCTGTCTGTCTCACCTGTCCTCTCTGTCTTCTGTCTCACCTGTCTCTCTGTCTCAACCTGTCTCTGTCTCACCTGTCTCACCTGTCTGTCTCACCTGTCTCACCTGTCTCTGTCTCACCTGTCTGTCTCACCTGTCTCTGTCTGTCTCCTGTCCTCAACCTGTCTCTCTGTCTCACCTGTCTCCTGTCTCACCTGTCTCACCTGTCTCACCTGTCTCTCTGTCTCACCTGTCTGTCTCACCTGTCTCACCTGTGTCTCACCTGTCTCTCTGTCTCACCTGTCTCACCTGTGTCTCACCTGTCTCACCTGTCTCTGTCTCACCTGTCTCACCTGTCTCTGTCTCACCTGTCTCACCTGTCTCTCTGTCTCACCTGTCTCACCTGTCTCACCTGTCTCTCTGTCTCACCTGTCTGTCTCTCTCTTTGTCCCTCAGGTCTCCGTTCGTTCCGGATCGTCACGTCTCCGTGTAACTTCACCACTTTGCGGGAGTCTCAGGTGAAGTCGGTCCAGTCCTGGTCCTTGGTCTTGGTCCTGCCCCTGGTCCAGATCCTGGTCTTGGTCTTGGCTCTGCCCTCGAACCTCGTGGCTTTGTGGGTCTTGTTGTTTCGGTCCAAACGGGTCCCGTCCACGTCTCTGCTGGTGACGCTGACAGTGTGCGACCTGTCGGTGCTTCTGGCCCTGCCCTTCCGGGCGGCGTATCACCTGTCGGGGAACCACTGGGCGCTGGGCGAGGCCGCGTGCCGCCTGGTGGTGGCGCTGTTCTACGGGAACATGTACGGCTCGGTGCTGTGCTTGGCGTTCGTGGCGGTGGACCGCTACGTGGCGCTCGTGCACCCGTTCCGCGCGCGTGTCGTGCGCTCGCGGGGGACGGCGGGGCTCATGGTGACGGGGGTGTGGCTCACGGTCGCCGCGGCGATGCTCCCGCCGCTTCTCACGCGTCAGACGTTCGACCTGGACGAGCCGCGCATCACCACGTGTCACGACGCGCTGCCGCAGAGCCACCGGGAGGCGCTGCTGCTCCCGTACTTCCTCTGTCTGTTCTGCGCGTGCTTCGCGGCGCCGCTGCTCGTCGTCGTTTTCTGTCACGGGGCGATTCTTCACACGCTGTTACGTCACGGCGAGCGTCACGGCGGAGAGCGGTACGGCCACGCGGTCAGGGCCACGGCGCTCGTGCTGCTCGTCTTCGCCGTGAGCTTCGTCCCGAGTAACGTCCTGCTGCTGCTGTCGCTGACGGACGACGGCGAGGGGGCGGAGCCTGACCTGTACGGGCCGTACATGCTCAGTTTGGCTCTGAGCGTCGTCAACACGCTGCTCGACCCGTTCATCTACTGCTACGTCTCCAGCGACTTCCGGGACAAAGCCCTCGCCGCCGTCTGCCGCCGCCGACGTCATCGTGACCCCGCCCAACGCTCCGCCTCCAAACCCACGTCACCACGGCAACAGACCAAAGTCACACTACTGTCCCCGCCCACCGGCCACAGCACGGACACGCCCACAGATACGGACACGCCCACCAACCACACAGACACGCCCACAGACATAGACACGCCCATCAACCACAGACACGCCACAGACACACGCCACAGCCATATAGACACGCCCACAGACATAGACACGCCCATCAACCACACAGACACGCCCACAGACATAGACACGCCCACAGACATAGACACGCCCATCAACCACACAGACACGCCCACAGATACGGACACGCCCATCAACCACACAGACACGCCCACAGATACGGACACGCCCATCAACCACACGGACACGCCCACAGCCATAGACACGCCCATCAACCACACGGACACGCCCACAGCCATAGACACGCCCATCAACCACACGGACACGCCCACAAAGGTCTGACATTGTTAAAAAAAAAGTTTAAGGTCTGTTCAGACGTCAGAAGAACTTTGTTTTTGTTCTTGAGGTGAGAAAAATAAAGTTCGTTTGGGCTCCGACATTTCATATTTCAAAAGATTTTCTGCCCCGCCCCCTCGCTCTGCCCCGCCCCCTTTTTTCTGGTGATCTTTTGTTTTGTTTCTCTTGGCCTGGAGATTTTACTTTAGACTTTTCTGATTTTGTTCTGAGTCTAAAATATCGTCCATCTCCCTCCATGAGTTTCTTCGTTTGTTTTTTATCGTCGTGTCGTTCACATGTTTGGATTTTCAGCTGTCGCTCAAAAACATCTTTTTTTTTTCTTGCTCCACACGACGAGGAAACAGAGAAAACGCCAACACAGAAACAACCAATCAGAGCCAAGACGTCGAACAGAACTGAAGAACGACAACTGAGACGTCGAGAACAAAACGAGAACAAAACGAGAACAAAACGAGAACTGAACAAAAGGTCCGGCTCTGGGAACAAGAACAAAGTTTTTCTGAAATATGAACAGACCTTAAATCTTAAACAGAATGATTTGTTTCAGTGGAATGAAGTTCTGTCCGAGGGAAACGTCACTTTATTGTCATGAAAACACAAACAAACACACAAACAAACACACAAACAACACACAAACAAACAAACACACACACTGACACTCGAGCAAAAACATTTATGTGGAGCAGGATTCAAACCGACAACCTTCAGCTCAGAGTCAAACGCTCTGCTCCACCTCATGACATCATCAGGAGGATTCAGGTTTTGGATTTTTGAAAGTGAAAGTGAAACTGCGATGAGGATTTCACTCCGAGACGACACCAAACCTGGACTGAGGAAAAACCCCGTGATGAAGCTTTAAACAGAGACACGGAGACGCCGGAGTCACGAGCACGAGTTTATTTAGAACATTTAAGAACACGGAGCAGTTCCGCCCGCGTCCAGCAGAGGGCGCAAGGACGGAACCCAAATACTGTCAACACTTTAACCACTTTAACACTTTAAACGTCCACGAGAGGAAATGTGATGCAAACTTTTAAAAATCTGAAGAAAAGAAAAATAAATAAATAATAAAAACTTCAGTGATCAATGCTGTAAAGAACATAAAACATTTAAATATCTGTTTTAAAAATTATAAAAATAACTTTGAAATGTTTGCTGTAATTGTATCGATTTGAGGAAAAGAGTTGGTGTAAAACAGAACACGGAAAATAAATAAAAACATGATAAATACTGAACGAGTCGTTACATTCACAGATTCTAAAGTTCCTGGGGATGGAAAAAGACGAGATTTTTACAGAATTACTCAAATTTTAATTCAGATTCCAATTTGAATCTCACACTTTTATTTGATTGAATATTTTTGTTGTTGTTCTAGAACAGTATTTTTTTGTTTAGTTTAGTTTTTTGGAACCACAAGACGTTTGGTCCCATCCCCAAAAATCACAATAATCAACAATAAAAGTTACAACATCAAAACTACTTCAGAAAATTTTCACAATCGTCACGTAAACGACGACGAGACGAGACGAGACTCGAGACACGAGACTCCAGCGAGAACGAGGTGAGGGTTTGATTCACTGACAATAATAAAGTGTTTGTTTTGTCTAAATGAATCTTTGATGTTTCTGTTGTGACGAGTTTTAAAAACGACTGATCAGGTTTTTTCATTTTGTTTTTTCATGTAAATCATTTCTCAGTTACAAACTGAGGCGACTTTAACGTCGCTGAACATCAGTCGGACGATTCAGAACAACACAACATACGACACCTGACGACACCTGACGGCACCTGACGGCACCTGACCTCGTGTGTGTGTCTGTGTGGTGTGTGTGTATGTGTGTTGTGTGTGTGTTTGTGTGTGTGTGTTGTGTGTGTCAGATGTTTGTTCAGATTTGTGTGTTTTTCTGTTTTTTCCTGTTGTTGTTTCATCAGACTCTTCATCTTCCTTCATCCTAAACAGTGTGATGTTTGTGTGTGTGTATAGTGTGTGTGTGTGTGTGTGTATAGTGTGTGTTTGTGTGTTTGTGATGTTTTTCTGTCTCTGTGACTCATCTCATTTCCTTAAAAAAAAACCTCCACAGGCTCCAGATTCTGATCTGACACAAATATATACAACTACAACTGCAACTACAACTACAACTACAACTACAACTACAACTACAACTACAACTACAACTGCAACTGCAACTACAACTACAACTACAACTACAACTGCAACTACAACTACAACTACAACTACAACTGTATCTGTATTTATATAGATACTGTTGTACACAGTTGTATTATTTGTATTGGAGTAAACTTGTGTTGTTTGTGTCAGTTTGTTTCTCTCATTTCTTTCTGTGGAGTCACTTCAGTCTGAGTCGCTCCCACAGATGAAACACCAGGAGGAGGAAGAAGAGGAGGAAGATCTGGAGTCATTTTTGTGTCATGAATCTTCATAAACTCAGAGTTTGTCACAATCAGTCGTTGGTTTGTTTTTATGTTTGATCCACAAATATAAATGAAATATTTGTCTCTTGTATTTAGTTTTGTACAAACAGATGTGGATTTGTTGTTTTTGATGAGTAACTGTGACGTGTTATTCAAATATTCACACATGTTTTAAAACCTCAGTGTAATAGGGTGAAGTCTGCACCAGTGCTGCCCCCTAGTGTCTCAAAAAAAACATCACAGAGGAAAAACTGTCAATCACATTTTACAAACACAATTTTCTGTTTTTTTGCAAATGAAAAAATATAAATTTTCAAATCCACATTTGTTTGTACAAAACAAAATACAAGAGACAAATATTACATTTGTATTTGTGTCAAACACAAAAACAAACCAACGACTGATTGTGACAAACTGAGTTTATGAAGATTCATGACACAAAAGTGACTCCAGATCTTCCTCCTGGTGTTTCTCTCGTCTCGTCTCGTCTCTGGTCTCGTCTCACACTGGACTGAACATGCTCCACACAAACACAAAGGTTTAGTCAAATTTCAGGAGATTTTCTGTGGCTCCAGGAGCAGGACTTCAGGAGGTTTAGATTTTTCCTCCAGAGTTTGGACTTTTTTCTGGCATCAGTTTTAGACCAAATCAGAACATTCTTCAGCGTGAGGAGCTGAAGGACGTCCGTGACGAGTGTCCTTCAACAGGACTTTTTTAGAATCCAGACCTGAGACTGAAGTTTTAGATTCGAGACACAAAAAGACAAAGATTTCAAACGTCTTGAGTGATTCTGGATTCACTGAGGATCCACCTCCTCCTGAAGAAGAACTGAACCTTCAGCTCCTCCTCCTCCTGGAACAAATCAGAACGAGCAGCTCATCTGCTCTGGTCCTGGTCCTGGTCCTGTTATAGTCCTGGTCCCGATCTAGTAGTCCTGATCTTGTCCTAGTCTTGTCCTGGTGCTGGTCTGATCCTGTTCCTGGTCTGGTCCTAGTCCTCACTCCTGGTCCCGGTCTTGATCCTGACCCTGGTCCTGGTCTGGTCCAGGTCCTGGTCTGATCCTGGAACTAGTCTACTCCTGGTCCTAGTCCTGACTCCTGATCCTGGTCTAGTCCTTGTCCTAGTGCTCGTCTGATCCTCATCTTGGTTCTGGTCCTGGTCCTGATCTAGTCCTGGTCTGGTCCTGGTCTAGTCCTTGTCCTGGTACTTGTATGATCCTCATCTTGGTCCTGATCTGCTCTGATCTAGTCCTGGTCCTGGTCTAGTCTTGGTCTTAGTCCTGGTCCTGATCTAGTAGTCCTGATCTTGTCCTAGTCTTGTCCTGGTGCTGGTCTGATCCTCATCCTGGTTCTGGTCCCGGTCTTGATCCTGATCCTGGTCCTATTCTATTCCTGGTCTAGTCCTTGTCCTAATGCTCGTCTGATCTTCATCTTAGTCCTGGTCCTGGTCTTAGTCCTGGTCCTGGTCTGGTCCTGGTCTGGTCCTGGTCCTGGTCTGGTCCTGGTCTGGTCCTGGTCTTAGTCCTGGTCTTAGTCCTGGTCCTGGTCTACAGGATGCTCTCTCTCTCTGAGCTGAAGCAGACGGTGGTGACCTCAGGAGGTTCTCCGGGCCTCAGTCCTCTCTTCAGCTGCAGGACCCTCACGTTCTCGTTCTGGGTCTGGACCTGGGTCTGGGCCTGGGTCTGGGTCTGGTCTTGGGTGCGGTCTTGGGTCCGGTCTTGATCTGGACCCGGGCTGTTGTTGTTGAGGCTCTGGTTGGTCTGGTGGGTCTTGGCTTTGTTCAGGTTGTTGAAGGTTTCAGTTTCCTCCTCCCAAACGTGAGTCCTGCAAGACCAAGAACCAGGTCTAAACCAGGTCTAAACCAAACCGGGTCTAAAACCAGGGTCTAAACCGGGTCTAAACCGGGTCTAAACCAGGTCTAAACCAGGTCTAAACCAAGGTCTAAACCAAGGTCTAAACCGGAAACCGGGTCTAAACCAGGTCTAAACCGGTCTAAACCGGGTCTAAACCAGGTCTAAACCTCTAAACGGTCTAAACCGGGTCTAAACCGGGTCTAAACCAGGTCTAAACCAGGTCTAAACCAGGTCTAAACCAGGTCCCGGGTCTAAACTCTAAACCGGGTCTAAACCGGTCTAAACCGGGTCTAAAACCCTTCCTCGTGTGGTCGGTGTGTGTGTGTGTCAGGTGCGGTCCTGTGTGTGTCAGGTGCTGGTCCTGTGTGTGTGTCAGGTGCGGTCCTGTGTGTGTTGTCAGGTGCGGTCCTGTGTGTGTGTCAGGTGCGGTCCTGTGTGTGTGTCAGGTGCGGTCCTGTGTGTGTCAGTCAGGTGCGGTCCTGTGTGTGTGTCAGGTGCGGTCCTGTGTGTGTGTCAGGTGCGGTCCTGTGTGTGTGTCAGGTGCGGTCCCGTGTGTGTGTCAGGTGCGGGTCCGTGTGTGTGGTCAGGTGTCCTGTTGTGTGTGTCAGGTGCGGTCCTGTGTGTGTCAGGTGCGGTCAGTGTGTGTGTCAGGTGCGGTCCTGTGTGTGTGTCAGGTGCGGTCCTGTGTGTGTGTCAGGTGCGGTCAGTGTGTGTGTCAGGTGCGGTCCTGTGTGTGTGTCAGGTGCTGTCCTGTGTGTGTTCAGGTGCGGTCCTGTGTGTGTGTCAGGTGCGGTCCTGTGTGTGTGTCAGGTGCGGTCCTGTGTGTGTGTCAGGTGCGGTCCTGTGTGTGTCAGGTGCGGTGTGTCCGTGTGTGTGTGTCAGTGCGTCCTGTGTGTGTCAGGTGCGGTCCTGTGTGTGTGTCAGTGCGGTCAGTGTGTGTCAGGTGCGGTCCTGTGTGTGTGTGTCAGGTGTGGTCCTCGTGTGTGTGTGTCAGGTGCGGTCCTGTGTGTGTGTCAGGTGCGGTCCTGTGTGTGTGTGTGTGTGTGTGTCAGGTGCGGTCCTGTGTGTGTGTCAGGTGCGGTCAGTGTGTGTGTCAGGTGCGGTCCTGTGTGTGTGTGTGTGTCAGGTGCGGTCCTGTGTGTGTGTCAGGTGCGGTCCTGTGTGTGTGTGTCAGGTGCGGTCCTGTGTGTGTGTCAGGTGCGGTCCTGTGTGTGTGTCAGGTGCGGTCCTGTGTGTGTCAGGTGCGGTCCTGTGTGTGTGTGTGTGCAGGTGCGGTCCTGTGTGTGTCAGGTGGTGTGTCAGGTGTGTGTGTGTGTCAGGTGCGGTCCTGTGTGTGTGTCAGGTGCGGTCCTGTGTGTGTGTCAGGTGCGGTCCTGTGTGTGTGTCAGGTGCGGTCAGTGTGTGTCAGGTGTGTGTGTGTGTGTCAGGTGCGGTCCTGTGTGTGTGTGTCAGGTGCGGTCCTGTGTGTGTGTCAGGTGCGGTCCTGTGTGTGTCAGGTGTCCTGTGTGTGTGTCAGGTGCGGTCCTGTGTGTGTGTCAGGTGCGGTCCTGTGTGTGTCAGTGTCAGGTGCGGTCCTGTGTGTGTGTCAGGTGCGGTCCTGTGTGTGTGTCAGGTGCGGTCAGTGTGTGTCAGGTGTGTGTGTGTGTCAGGTGCGGTCCTGTGTGTGTGTCAGGTGCGGTCCTGTGTGTGTGTGTGTGTCAGGTGCGGTCCTGTGTGTGTGTGTGTTCAGGTGCGGTCAGTGTGTGTGTGTGTCAGGTGCGGTCCTGTGTGTGTGTGTGTCAGGTGCGGTCTGTGTGTGTCAGGTGTCAGGTGCGGTCCTGTGTGTGTGTGTGTGTGTCAGGTGCGGTCCTGTGTGTGTGTCAGGTGCGGTCCTGTGTGTGTCAGGTGCGGTCAGTGTGTGTGTGTGTCAGGTGCGGTCCTGTGTGTGTGTGGTGTCAGGTGCGGTCCTGTGTGTGTGTGTGTGTCAGGTGCGGTCCGTGTGTGTGTGTGTGGTGTCAGGTGCGGTCCTGTGTGTGTGTCAGGTGCGGTCCTGTGTGTGTCAGGTGCGGTCCTGTGTGTGTCAAGGTGCGGTCCTGTGTGTGTGTCAGGTGCGGTCCTGTGTGTGTGTGTCAGGTGCGGTCCTGTGTGTGTCAGGTGCGGTCCTGTGTGTGTGTCAGTGTGTGTCAGGTGTGTGTGTGTGTGTGTGTGTCAGGTGCGGTCCTGTGTGTGTGTCAGGTGCGGTCCTGTGTGTGGTGTGTGTGTGTCAGGTGCGGTCCTGTGTGTGTGTCAGGTGCGGTCCTGTGTGTGTCAGGTGTGTGTCAGGTGCGGTCAGTGTGTGTGTGTCAGGTGCGGTGTGTGTGTGTGTTCAGGTGCGGTCAGTGTGTGTGTCAGGTGCGGTCCTGTGTGTGTCAGGTGCGGTCAGTGTGTGTGTGTGTGTGTCAGGTGCGGTGTGTGTCAGGTGCGGTCAGTGTGTGTGTGTCAGGTGCGGTCCTGTGTGTGTGTCAGGTGCGGTCCTGTGTGTCAGGTGTGGGTGTGTCAGGTGCGGTCCTGTGTGTGTGTGTGTCAGGTGCGGTCCTGTGTGTCAGTGTGGTCCTGTGTGTGTGTGTGTCAGGTGCGGTCCTGTGTGTGTGTGTCAGGTGCGCTCCTGGTGTGTGTGTCAGGTGCGGTCCTGTGTGTGTGTGTGTCAGGTGCGGTCCTGTGTGTGTGTCAGGTGTGTCCTGTGTGTGTGTGTGTGTGCAGTGTGCGTCAGGTGTGTGTCAGGTGTGTGTGTGTCAGGTGCGCTCCTTGTGTGTGAGTGTCAGGTGCACTCCTGTGTGTGTGTGTGTCAGGTGCGGTCCTGTGTGTGTGTGTGTCAGGTGCGGTCCTGTGTGTGTGTCAGGTGCGGTCAGTGTGTGTGTGTGTGTGGTCAGGTCCTGTGTGTGTGTGTGTCAGGTGCGGTCCTGTGTGTGTCAGGTGCGGTCCTGTGTGTGTGTCAGGTGCGGTCAGTGTCTGTGTGTGTCAGGTGCGGTCCTGTCGTACCCCACGCTGCCCTGGTCGGAGCAGATCGACATGCGTCCGTCCTGGAGCGGTTTGGCTCGACTCGGCTCCTCCTCCTGGAGCGAGTGGTTTGGAGAACTTTCATTGGACCTGAGGGACAGAAGAGGGACTGAGATCTGGACCAGAACCAGGACTGAACCAGGACTGAACAAGGACTGAACAAGGACTAAACCAGGACTAAAATAGGACTAAACCAGGACTGAACCAGGACTAAACCAGGACTAAACCAGGTCTAAACCAGTACAGACCTGACTCCAGAGTCCGAGGAGTCCTTCTTGTCCAGGGCCTCGGAGTCTTCATCGCTGAGTTTCTGGTACTGTCCGCTCCTGGGTCGGTCTCTGGTCTGGTCTCTGGTCTGGACTTTGGCCTGGACTTTGATCTGGACTTTGGCGCTGGTTCCGGGCTCCTCCTCCTCGTGGTCTTCTCTGATGGGGTGAAGAACGTCGCCCTCTTCTGGGAGTTTGATGGAGTTCCTCTTCAGGACTCTGCGGTCCGGTTCAGCGCGGTCCGACTCGGTCCGGTCTCGGGTCTGGTCCTGGTTCCGGTCGGGGTCTTGTTCTAGGCTGGACATGTGGGTGATGTAGTCCTGGTACGCGGTCCGGTACTCGGCCTGTTGTCGGTCCGTCAGGCGCCAAATGTCTCCTGATTCTGGAGAGTCTGGAGGACCCTGAAGAACAAGAACCAGGTCTAAACCAGGTCTAAACCAGGAAAACCAGGACTAAACCAGGACTAAACCAGGTCTAAACCAGGTCTAAACCAGGTCTAAACCAGGACTAAACCAGGACTCTAAACTAAACCAGGTCTAAACCAGGTAAACTAAACCAGGACTAAACCAGGACTAAACCAGGACTAAACCAGGTCTAAACCAGGTCTAAACTAAACCAGGTCTAAACCAGGACTAAACCAGGACTAAACCAGGTCTAAACCAGGACTAAACCAGACCTAAACCAGGTCTAAACCAGGACTAAACCAGGTCTGTGTTGGTGGAGTGTGGGTGCAGTACCGTGCCGGTCCAGCGGGGGCGTTGTTCCTCCAGGCCCATGTTGCTGAGTTCGTCGAAGCTCAGGTTGAAGCCGAACTCCGACCTGGCGAGGGGCGGAGCCAAACGCACCGATTCCACGGCAACACTTCCTGCTTCACTGCCCACGTCGTCCCGCAGGCCCTCGGCGCGACGCATGTCCAGAACCTGAACACGAAGAAAAAAAACATTTAAATAAAATAAAAATAAAAGACGCATGTCCAGAACCTGAACACGAAGAAAAAACATTTAAATAAAATAAAAATAAAAGACGCATGTCCAGAACCTGAACACGAAGAAAAAACATTTAAATAAAATAAAAGACGCATGTCCAGAACCTGAACACGAAGAAAAAACATTTAAATAAAATAAAAGACGCATGTCCAGAACCTGAACACGAAGAAAAAATTTAAAAAATAAAAAAAGACGCATGTCCAGAACCTGAACACGAAAAGAAAAAACATTTAAATAAAATAAAAATTAAAGACGCATGTCCAGAACCTGAACACAAAGAAAAAACATTTAAATAAAATAAAAATAAAAGACGCATGTCCAGAACCTGAACACGAAGAAAAAAAACATTTAAATAAAATAAAAATAAAAGACGCATGTCCAGAACCTGAACACGAAGAAAAAAAACATTTAAATAAAATAAAAATAAAAGACGCATGTCCAGAACCTGAACACGAAGAAAAAAAACATTTAAATAAAATAAAAATAAAAGACGCATGTCCAGAACCTGAACACGAAGAAAAAAAACATTTAAATAAAATAAAAATAAAAGACGCATGTCCAGAACCTGAACACGAAGAAAAAACATTTAAATAAAATAAAAATTAAAGACGCATGTCCAGAACCTGAACACAAAGAAAAAAAACTTTTAAATAAAATAAAAACAAAAGACGCATGTCCAGAACCTGAACAAAAAAAACCCAAAACATTTAAATAAAATAAAAGACACATGTCCAGAACCTGAACATGAAGAACAAGAAAATATAAATGATGTAAATAAGATAATGATCATTTATATATAGTTTAAATACACCTGGACAAGTGCAGCAATAAAACATATCATTTAAATAAGATAAGAATAATACATATATATAATTAAAATAATGTGATCACATCTCCAGCGCCTGGACATGTGTAACAAAATATAATTTAAAATAAGATAAGAATAATTTATATAGCAGATCCAGGAGAAACATCAGAACATCTCAGTCCATCAGCTGGAAATATTATTAAATATAATGATTAAAAGATTTATTTGTATTTGCAGTACTGGGGTGGGGCGATATCCAAGTGTCACCATATGATATTTATTGTGACATTGTGGGAAAGTTCATGATTCACGATTGGAGATGTAACAAAATCCAAATCTCACAATGTACATCTCATGGTACAGTATTTACTGCGATCTTTAGTGGAGGCTGGTATGACACTTTTTCCTCTTAAAACACCTCGACAAGATTTAATCTAAAGAACTCAGATTTAAAGAGTTGGAACTGTTATTTCTTCTTGTCGTTTGCACTGAACTGGAGCAAAGGATCATGGTCTGTGTAGTTCCTCTGTGTTTTTAACTCTTCATTTAAACAAAGACACTTGTGATTTGATTTATTGTGAAAACTTTGACGATACAATAGCCCCATATTTCTGTTTTTGTTATGTCCCTAGTAGTAATAGTAGCAATATTTGTAGTAATACTAGTATTTGTAGTAGTTATTGATGCAGTGATATTTTGAGAACAGTTTGGGGAACAGTAGTATTATTTGTAGTATTTCCAGTACTCACAGCAGCCCTGAAGTAGTAGTAGTAGTATTTGCAGTAGTATTTGCAGTAGTATTTGCAGTAGTAGTAGTATTTGCAGTAGTATTTGCAGTAGTATTTGCAGTAGTATTTGCAGTAGTATTTGCAGTAGTATTTGCAGTAGTATTTGCAGTAGTATAGTAGTAGTATTTGCAGTAGTATTTGCAGTAGTATTTGCAGTAGTAGTAGTATTTGCAGTAGTATTTGCAGTAGTATTTGCAGTAGTATTTGCAGTAGTATTTGCAGTAGTATTTGCAGTAGTATTTGCAGTAGTATTTGCAGTAGTATTTGCAGTAGTATTTGCAGTAGTATTTGCAGTAGTATTTGCAGTAGTATTTGCAGTAGTATTTGCAGTAGTATTTGCAGTACTCACCGCGGCTCTGAACAGTTGCCAGTCTCCAAAGTTCATGTTCATTTCTTTCTTCAGTTCATCGATGTTACACTGAGACAAAACCCGACCGTTTATGTTCGCCTGAAACAAGAACCAGAACCAGAACTGAACCAGGACCAGAACCAGAACTGAACCAGAACCAGAACCAGAACCAGAACTGAAACAGGAACCAGAACCAGAACCAGAACTGAAACAGGACCAGAACCAGAACTGAACCAGGACCAGAACCAGAACTGAAACAAGAACCAGAACCAGAACTGAAACAAGAACCAGAACCAGAACTGAAACAGGACCAGAACCAGAACCAGAACTGAACCAGGACCAGAACCAGAACTGAAACAGGACCAGAACCAGAACCAGAACCAGAACTGAAACAAGAACCACAACAGAACTGAACCAGGACTAAACCAGGACTAAACCAGGACTAAACCAGGACTAAACTAGGACTAAACCAGGACTAAACTAGGACTAAAATAGGTCTAAACCAGGTCTAAACCAGGACTAAAATAGGTCTAAACCAGGACTAAAACCAGGACTGAACCAGGACTGGACCGGGTCTGGAGCAGGCGTGTATTTGTTCACCTTCCTGATGGTGGCGCTGTTGTTGTGTGTTTTCTCACCTTCCTGACGGTGGCGCTGTTGTTGTGTATTTGTTCACCTTCCTGATGGTGGCGCTGTTGTTGTGTGTTTTCTCACCTTCCTGATGGTGGCGCTGTTGTTGTGTATTTGTTCACCTTCCTGATGGTGGCGCTGTTGTTGTGTGTTTGTTCACCTTCCTGATGGTGGCGCTGTTGTTGTGTGTTTTCACCTTCCTGATTTGTGCGCTGTTGTTGTGTGTTTTCTCACCTTCCTGATGGTGGCGCTGTTGTTGTGTGTTTGTTCACCTTCCTGATGGTGGCGCTGTTGTTGTGTGTTTTCTCACCTTCCTGATGGTGGCGCTGTTGTTGTGTGTTTTCTCACCTTCCTGATGGTGGCGCTGTTGTTGTGTGTTTTCTCACCTTCCTGATGGTGGCGCTGTTGTTGTGTGTTTGTTCACCTTCCTGACGGTGGCGCTGTTGTTGTGTGTTTTTCACCTTCCTGATGGTGGCGCTGTTGTTGTGTGTTTTCTCACCTTCCTCACCTTCCTGATGGTGGCGCTGTTGTTGTGTGTTTTCTTCACCTTCCTGATGGTGGCGCTGTTGTTGTGTGTTTTCTCACCTTCCTGATGGTGGCGCTGTTGTTGTGTGTTTTTCTCACCTTCCTGATGGTGGCGCTGTTGTTGTGTGTTTTCTCACCTTCCTGATGGTGGCGCTGTTGTTGTGTGTTTTCTCACCTTCCTGATGGTGGCGCTGTTTTGTTGTTGTTTCACCTTCCTGATGGTGGCGCTGTTGTTGTGTGTTTGTCTCACCTTCCTGATGGTGGCGCTGTTGTTGTGTGTTTGTTCACCTTCCTGATGGTGGCGCTGTTGTTGTGTGTTTTCTCACCTTCCTCATGGTGGCGCTGTACTGGGGGAGCATGTTGGCGTCGAGTCCGGCCATCGTCTGCACGCGCTCACAAACCGCCTCCGTCGTCATGGCGCTGAGCAGGAGGGGCGGGGCCAACACGGAGCCGGGGCCCTGGACCAATCACAGCACAGCGTGTGTGAGTGAACCAATCAGAGAGCGGCGTTTATCTACAGTCAGTGACAGATGCATGCTGGGAAATGGAGTCTGAGCACAACAGAGGAACAAGAAGGAGCAAGAACACAGGAGGAAAAACCAGGACTAAACCAGGACTAAACCAGGTCTAAACCAGGACTAAACCAGGACTAAACCAGGTCTAAACCAGGACTAAACCAGGACTAAACAGGACTAAACCAGGTCTAAACCAGGACTAAACCAGGTCTAAACCAGGTCTAAACTAGGTCTAAACCAGGATTAAACCAGGACTAAACTAGACTAAACGGACTAAACCAGGTCTAAACCAGGACTAAACCAGGTCTAAACCAGGTCTAAACTAGGTCTAAACTAGGTCTAAATCAAATCTAAACCAGGACTAAACTAGGACTAAAGCAAGACTAAGAAACTAGGACCAAATCAGGTCTAAACCAGGTCTAAACAAGGTCTAAATTAGGACTAAACAAGGACTAAACCAGGACTAACCCAGAAATAATCCAGGTCTAAACCTGGACTAAACCAGATCTAAACCAGATCTAAACCAGGTCTAAACAAGGACTAACCCAGGTTTAAATCAAGACTAACCAGAACAGGACTAAACTATGATTAACTATGATTAATTATGTCTAAACTTGATCCTAACCTGGATTAACCCAGAAGTAAACCAGGACTAAACCAGGTCTAAACCAGGTCTAAACCAGGACTAAACCAGGATTAACCCAGTACTGAATCAGGTCTAAACCAGGACTAACCCAGGTCTAAATCAAGACTAAATCAAGACTAAATCAAGACTAGACCAGAAACAGAACAGGACTAAACCATGATTAACTATGAACTATTAAGTCTAAATCTGATCCTAAGTCTAAACCAAGACTGAACCAGGTCTAAACCAGGTCTAAACCAGGACTAAACCAGGACGAAACCCGGACTAAACCAGGACTAAACCCGGACTAAACCAGGACTAAAGCAGGTCTAACCCGGGTCTCAGGCAGGGAGGGAGGGAGGATTGAAGGACTGGTACCTGTTTACGTTTCAAAGATGAGACCTGGACAAACAGGTGAAGAGACAGGTGAATCAGACAGGTGAAGGAGACAGGTGAAGGCGACAGGTGAGGAGACAGGTGAAGGCGACAGGTGAAGGCGACAGGTGAAGAGACAAGTGTAGAGACAGGTGAAGAGACAGACACAGGAGTCAACACCACATTTGTAAAATCATCGACATGTTTGTGAAGTTGGAGCATCAGAGTGAACCTGAGATCTTTCTTTGGTCTAGAGAGTTTGAGGTTGTTTGAACACAGGTCACTAAACCACTAAACCAGGACTAAACCAGGACTAAACCAGGACTAAACCAGGACAAAGAAACTAAAGCTAAGGACTTAAGGACTAAACCAAATCTTCAACCAACAAGCTCCACAAAGGATAAACATTCTTCATGTTCTTCTTCTTCTCTGGGGTCGGGTCTCGGAGCATCACTCTGAACAGAAACTCCCAGACTTCCCTCACCCCAGACACTTCCTCCAGTGGGACCTGAGGTGTTCCCAGTCCAGTCCAGAGACATGGTCCCTCCAGTGTGTCCTGGGTCTCCTCCTCCTCCCGGTGGAACATGAACACCTCCTGAGGGACACGTCCAGGAGACGTCAGAACAGACGTCCTCCCCTCAGACGCTCCTCTCCACGTGGAGGAGCAGCGGCTCTACTCCGAGCTCCGACCTCTGTCTCTAAGGGAGACGCCCGGCCTCGATCTGGTCCTTCGGGTCATGACCAGAGGTGAGGGGAGGAACGGAGACTGACGCTAAATCCAGACGCAGCTCCTCTTCACCACAACGACCGATACAGAGACCGCTGCACCTGTCCACCTGTCAATCTGCCCACGCTGCACCTGTCCACCTGTCAATCTGCCCACGCTGCACCTGTCCACCTGTCAATCTGCCCACGCTGCACCTGTCCACCTGTCAATCTGCCCACGCTGCACCTGTCCACCTGTCAATCTGCCCACGCTGCACCTGTCCACCTGTCAATCTGCCCACGCTGCACCTGTCCACCTGTCAATCTGCCCACGCTGCACCTGTCCACCTGTCAATCTCCTGTCACTCGAGAACAAGACCCTGACAGACTTGGACTTGAGGATCAGAACATGAGTTTGTTGTGTGACTCGTGTCTCGTTGTTTCTTTCAGTTTGTTCTTTCTTCTCTTGATATTTGTGGATAAATTGTTCATGAAGAATGTTTCTCCTTTGTGGAGTTTGTTGGTTGAAGATTGAAAACATTTACACAGAAAAACATTTACGTTCTCTACGATGGAGTATGAGGGTCAGATAAAAAAAACATGCTGGTGCTACGAGAATAAAGTCGTAACATTTCAACATTAAAGTTGTAATATTATGAGAATAAAGTCGTAATAAAATCAAAGTCAAAGTGAAAAATGCGGCAGAAGAAGAACCTTGTTTTTCAATATAAAACCAAAAATAAGAAAACGGAAAAAAAAAAATTCTTCATTATTTGCACCTCCGGACTGAACCAGGACTGAACCAGGACTAAACCAGGACTAAATCAGGTCCAGGACCAGACCAGGACTGAGACCAGGACTTAGACCAGGACTTAGACCAGGACTGAACCAGGACTAAACCAGGTCCAGTACCAGACAAGGACTGACTCCAGGTCAGTCACGGAAACGCAGTTTCCCATTTCCGTGACTTAAACCAGGACTAAATTAGGACTAAACCGTTTTCAGTCCTGGTCTGGTCCCGGTCTCAATCCTGGTCTTTCTGGTTTGGTTCCGGACCTGGTTTAGTCCTGATTCAGTCCTTGTTCAGTCGAATGAACGAATGATACACAGATTCTTCTCCTTTACAAAATGTTCCAAATTCTCCACGAGCCGCCGATATTCTCCTAATATTACCACTTTATTTTGACACCACTTTATTCTCGTAAAATTACGACTTTATTCTCGTAAAATTACGACTTTAATGTCAAAATGTTACGACTTTATTCTCGTAGCGCCAGCATGTCATTTGTTTTAATCTGACCTTTATACTGTCGTAGATCTCAGATATCTGCAGGAGCTGAACGGGGATTTGAACTTTATTTGGTCTTGTGTGTGTGTGTGTTCTGGTTGTGTTTGTGGTTCTGATACTCACGGCGTCCCAGCTCGGGCCCGGTCGTGGGTAGAAGTTCGGAGGGGCGGGCGGGGGCGGGCAGGTGAAGGGCGTGGCCATGAGGGGGCGTGGCAGAGCGTAAAGGTGATGAGGAGGGAAATACGGCTGGACCACAAGAACAAATGAAAACGCACAAATCAAAATGAACACGAGAAAAAACTGGAGCGAAAATATGAAGAGACGAGAACGACGACGACTGCTGCTGCTGTCATCACCGTAACACTTTTAATACTGATACTGCGTTCACTCGATACTCGATACTCGATACTCGATTCTGATCCCACAATGACAATTTAAAAAATGTCTTTTTTTAAATGACAGAAATTTGATTTTCCACATTAAACAGTAAAACTTTCTTTCCTATTCACATCTGTCCTGATATCTGCATAAACCAGGACTAAACCAGGTCTAAACCAGGTCTAAACCAGGTCTAAACCAGGACTAAACCAGGACTAAACCAGGTCTAAACCAGGTCTAAACCAGGTCTAAACCAGGACTAAACCAGGACTAAACCAGGACTAAAACCAGGACTAAACCAGGACTAAACCAGGTCTAAACCAGGACTAAACCAGGACTAAACCAGGACTAAACCAGGTCTAAACCAGGACTAAACCAGGTAAACCAGGTCTAAACCAGGACTAAACCAGGACTAAACCAGGACTAAACCAGGTCTAAACCAGGTCTAAACCAGGACTAAACCAGGACTAAACCAGGTCTAAACCAGGTCTAAACCAGGACTAAAACCAGGACTAAACCAGGTCTAAACCAGGACTAAACCAGGACTAAACCAGGACTAAACCAGGTCTAAACCAGGACTAAACCAGTCTAAACCAGGACTAAACCAGGACTAAACCAGGACTAAACCAGGACTAAACCAGGTCTAAACCAGGTCTAAACCAGGACTAAACCAGGACTAAACCAGGTCTAAACCAGGACTAAACCAGGACTAAACCAGGACTAAACCAGGTCTAAACCAGGACTAAACCAGGACTAAACCAGGACTAAACCAGGACTAAACCAGGTCTAAACCAGGACTAAACCAGGACTAAACCAGGACTAAACCAGGTCTAAACAAAACCAGGACTAAACCAGGACTAAACCAGGACTAAACCAGGACTAAACCAGGTAAACCAGGTCTAAACCAGGACTAAACCAGGTCTAAACCAGGACTAAACCAGGTCTTAAACCAGGTCTAAACCAGGACTAAACCAGGTCTAAACCAGGACTAAACCAGGACTAAACCAGGACTAAACCAGGTCTAAACCAGGACTAAACCAGGACTAAACCAGGTCTAAACCAGGTCTAAACCAGGACTAAACCAGGACTAAAACCAGGACTAAACCAGGACTAAACCAGGACTAAACCAGGACTAAACCAGGACTAAACCAGGACTAAACCAGGACTAAACCAGGTCTAAACCAGGACTAAACCAGGACTAAACCAGGACTAAACCAGGACTAAACCAGGACTAAACCAGGACTAAACCAGGACTAAACCAGGTCTAAACCAGGACTAAAACCAGGTCTAAACCAGGACTTAAACCAGGTCTAAACCAGGACTAAACCAGACTAAACCAGGACTAAACCAGGTCTAAACCAGGTCTAAACCAGGACTAAACCAGGACTAAACCAGGTCTAAACCAGGTCTAAACCAGGACTAAACCAGGACTAAACCAGGACTAAACCAGGTCTAAACCAGGACTAAACCAGGTCTAAACCAGGACTAAACCAGGACTAAACCAGGTCTAAACCAGGACTAAACCAGGACTAAACCAGGACTAAACCAGGACTAAACCAGGACTAAACCAGGACTAAACCAGGACTAAACCAGGACTAAACCAGGACTAAACCAGGACTAAACCAGGACTAAACCAGGACTAAACCAGGTCTAAACCAGGTCTAAACCAGGTCTAAACTAAACAGGACTAAACCAGGTCTAAACCAGGACTAAACCAGGTCTAAACCAGGACTAAACCAGGTCTAAACCAGGACTAAACCAGGTCTAAACCAGGACTAAACCAGGACTCAACCAGGACTAAACCAGGTCTAAACCAGGACTAAACCAGGACTAAACCAGTCTAAACAGGACTAAACCAGGTCTAAACCAGGACTAAACCAGGTCTAAACCAGGACTAAACCAGGACTAAACCAGGTCTAAACCAGGTCTAAACCAGGACTAAAACCAGGTCTAAAACCAGGACTAAACCAGGTCTAAAACCAGGACTAAACCAGGACTAAACCAGGACTGATCTTGCAGCAGCAGCAGGACGTCACAGTGAAATTAAATAAACAGAAATAAATGAACGTGAACATAAAGATGACATCACCGACTTACCGTCCAATCACACGCCTCCGTCTGAAAACCTAAAACACCTGAGAAAACTCACCTGAGCGAGGAGGAGGAGTCAGGGGGGAGGAGGAGGAGGCGTCTGGGGAGGGGGAGACTCACCCGGTTGTAGTACGGGTGCTGGGTGCTGGGGGAAGCGTCTGGGGAGGGGGAGACTCACCCGGTTGTAGTACGGGTGCTGGGTGCTGGAGGAGGAAGCGTCTGGGGAGGGGGAGACTCACCCGGTTGTAGTACGGGTGCTGGGTGCTGGGGGAAGCGTCTGGGGAGACTCACCCGGTTGTAGTACGGGTGCTGGGTGCTGGGGGAAGCGTCTGGGGAGGGGGAGACTCACCCGGTTGTAGTACGGGTGCTGGGCTCCGGTGATGCCGCTGTACGAGGCCGAGGGCGACAGAGACACTTGGCTGTAGATGGACGTGGGTCTGGGGTCCATCGGGGCGAAGGTCGGACCAGAGACCGCCACCTGCTCCCTCGCCGCACGCACGTCTGGAACGACCAATCAGAGGAGAGGACGCGAGTGAAACAGCCAATCAGAGGAGAGGACGCGAGTGAAACAGCCAATCAGGGAGGAGGAGACAAGTGAAACGGCCAATCAGAGAGGAGGACAAGTTTGAAACGGCCAATCAGAGAGGAGGATAAGTGTGAAAAGGCCAATCAGAGGAGGAGTGAAACAGCCAATCAGAGGAGAACATTAGTGAAACGACTAATCAGAGGAGGACAAGTTTGAAACGGCCAATCAGAGGAGGACACAAGTGAAACGGCCAATCAGAGAGGAGGACACGAGTGAAATGGCCAATCAGAGGAGGACATGTTTGAAAAGACCAATCAGAGAAGGCCCCAAGTGAAACAGCCAATCAGAGAAGGACACGAGTGAAACAGCCAATCAAGAAGGACACGAGTGAAACAGCCAATCAGAGAAGGACACGAGTGAAACGGCCAATCAGAGAAGGACACGAGTGAAACGGCCAATCAGAGAAGGACACGAGTGAAACAGCCAATCAGAGAAGGACAAGAGTGAAAGGGCCAATCAGAGAAGGACACGAGTGAAACAGCCAATCAGAGAAGGACACGAGTGAAACAGCCAATCAGAGAAGGACAAGAGTGAAACAGCCAATCAGAGAAGGACAAGAGTGAAAGGGCCAATCAGAGAAGGACACGAGTGAAACGGCCAATCAGAGAAGGACACGAGTGAAACGGCCAATCAGAGAAGGACAAGAGTGAAAGGGCCAATCAGAGGAGAGCACCGTAATATTTGTTTTGCATAATCATAAAGTTTTCTCTTCTCTTCTTGTTTTCTCTGTTTCCTGAGTGTTTCGTGTCTCTGTGTGCGTTAGAGGAACCGTGGTCTGACCTGAGATGATCTCGCGCAGTTTGGGGTCCAGGTTGATGGTGCAGGGGAGGAAGGTGCGGACGTCTCTGGCGGTGAGCGGCGGCTGACGAGACGACAGGAAAACCTCAAAACTACGAACGTCTGCGTCGATCTCCAACAGAGGCTCCACGTCTTTGGACGAGGGGATCAGCTTACACACCCTGAAAGAACGAGAACTCAACCAGGACTAAACCAGGACTAAACCAGGACTGAACCAGGACTGAACCAGGACTAAACCAGGACTAAACCAGGACTAAACCAGGACTAAACCAGGACTGAAACAGGACTGAACCAGGACTAAACCAGGACTGAAACAGGACTGAAACAGGACTGACTGAACCAGGACTGAACCAGGACTAAACAGGACTAAACCAGGACTGGACTGAAAGGACTGAACCAGGACTAAACCAGGACTGAACCAGGACTAAAACCAGGACTAAACCAGGACTGAACCAGGACTGAACCAGGACTGAACCAGGACTGAAACCATGAAACCAGGACTGAACCAGGACTGAACCAGGAAACCAGGACTAAACCAGGACTGAAACAGGACTGAACCAGGACTGAAACAGGACTGAACCAGGACTGAAACCAGGACTGAACCAGGACTAAACCAGGACTGAACCAGGACTAAACCAGACTAAACCAGGACTAAACCAGGACTGAAACCAGGACTGAAACAGGACAGGACTAAACCAGGACTAAACCAGGACTGAACCAGGACTGAAACCAGGACTGAAAGGACCAGGACTAAACCAGGACTGAAACCAGGACTAAACCAGGACTGAACCAGGACTGAACCAGGACTAAACCAGGACTAAACCAGGACTGGGACTAAACCAGGACTGAAACTAAACAGGACTAAACCAGGACTGAAACCAGGACTGAAACCAGGACTGAAAACCAGGACTGAAACCAGGACTGAAAACCAGGACTAAACCAGGACTGAACCAGGACTGAACCAGGACTGACTAAACCAGGACTAAACCAGGACTACTGAACCAAGACTGAACCAGGACTGAACCAGGACTGAACCAGGACTGAACCAGGACTAAACCAGGACTGAACCAGGACTGAACCAGGACTAAACCAGGACTAAACCAGACCTGAAATGGAAGTGTCTGGGGTTAGAGGAGGACGGTGGAGCAGAAGAGGACACAGTGTGGAGGTGTAGAGGACAAACCTCTCGTAGATGTGGAGGTGTAGAGGAGGACAAACCTCTCGTAGATGTGGAGGTGTAGAGGAGGACAGTGTGGAGGTGTAGAGGAGGACAAACCTCTCGTAGATGTGGAGGTGTAGAGGAGGACAATGTGGAGGTGTAGAGGAGGACAAACCTCTCGTAGATGTGGAGGTGTAGAGGAGGACAGTGTGGAGGTGTAGAGGAGGACAAACCTCTCGTAGATGTGGAGGTGTAGAGGAGGACAGTGTGGAGGTGTAGAGGAGGACAAACCTCTCGTAGATGGCTCTGAGGGAGGCCTGGTCGTGGATGTCTGTGCTCTCCTCCAGGTGCAGGAGGATCCAGGAGCTTCTGTAGGGCCACTGCTCCGTCAGAGAAATCCACGACGCCAAACGATCCCACTGGAAACTGATCTGAGACCAGAGACACGGGACAGGGTCTTAAACATCTTCACATTTTTTTACTTTAGACAGTTTGACTCTTTCACAGCCGACTCTTGGTCTCGTTCAGTCTACAGGACTTAATGCTCAATTTGGATTTTTTTGTGAAATGTGATTTTTTTGCGAGCTCGTTCACATTTCCAATTGAATGTGACTTGTGTGTGATCTTCAGTGTGAACTTGAAACGCCCCAAAAGTGTTCCGCATGAGCATTGGAGGACTTCTATCACCTAAACTCTGGGCTTGTCTCCCAAAACACAGTCCAGTTCTTGGTAAAATGGACAGGTCACATGTCCATACCTCTGACTGGCTGTTTGTGTGTGTTTTCTCACTGTTCTCTCACCTGATTGGCCCTGAGCAGTCGTCCCGTCACTGTTCTCTCACCTGATTGGCCCTCTCACTGTTCTCACCTGATTGGCCCTGAGCCCCGTCAGTTCTCTCACCTGATTGGCCCTCAGCAGTCGTCCCGTCACTGTTCTCTCACCTGATTGGCCCTCAGCAGTCGTCCCGTCACTGTTCTCTCACCTGATTGGCCCTCAGCAGTCGTCCCGTCACTGTTCTCTCACCTGATTGGCCCTCAGCAGTCGTCCCGTCAGTGTTTTCTCACCTGATTGGCCCTGAGCAGTCGTCCCGTCACTGTTCTCTCACCTGATTGGCCCTGAGCAGTCGTCCGTGTCACCTGTGAGCAGTCGTCCCGTCATGTTCTCTCACCTGATTGCCCTCAGCAGTCGTCCCGTCACTGTTCTCTCACCTGATTGTTCCTCACCTGATTGGCCCTCAGCAGTCGTCCCGTCACTGTTCTCTCACCTGATTGGCCCTCAGCAGTCGTCCCGTCAGAGACACGATGTTCAGGAGGCGTCTCATGCTCTGGGGGCTGATGTCGTTGAACCAGTCTTCAGCCAACATCAGTTTGGTCAAATCCAGAGACATCTGACGAGTGACGGACCTCTGTCTGCGCCGAGACGTGTCCTACACAGACACGGGACAGAACGAGGACAAGAGGACAAGAGGACAGGACGACAGGACGACAGGACGACAGGAGGACAGGACGACAGAACGACAGGACGACAGGAGGACAGGACGACAGGACGACAGAGGACGACAGGACGACAGGAGGACAGGACGACAGGACGACAGGACGACAGGAGGACAGGAGGACAGGACGACAGGACGACAGGAGGACAAGATGAGAGAGAGCGGAAGAGAGACTGTGTGAAACAGGTCTAGATCAGCTCTAGGGTAGGTCTGGAGAAGGTCTGGAGAAGGTCTAGAGCAGGTCTAGGGGAGGACCAGGTCAGGTCTAGATCAGGTCTAGATCAGGTCTGGATGAGGTCTAGATCAGGTCTAGATCAGGTCTAGGTCAGGTCTAGGTCAGGTCTAGGGGAGGTCTAGGTCAGGTCTAGATCAGGTCTAGATCAGGTCTAGATCAGGTCTAGATCAGGTCTAGATCAGGTCTTACCCGTCGGTTCAGGGTGGTTTTGCTTCCAAACTTGAGATCTGCCAAACTGGTCTGAGAGAGTTTCCGGTCGAGCTCCTCGTGCCAACCTGATGGAACATTTACATCTCATTTACATCTCATTTACATCTCATTTACATCTCATTTACATATGTGTTTTTAGTTAAATGAGTCCCTCCCCCTTCAGAGCGTCGCACTAATGAAGCTCCTGCACAAACATCAGGTTTGTCACGTTAAAGTGTTCAGTTTTGTGTTGTGTTTTTGTGTTTTTTTGGAGCGTTGTCGTGTGGGAGCCTGTGAGGCGGAGCCTCGAACAGAGTAACACGTAATGAGAGGAGAGAGAAGGAAAGAGAGAGAGAGAGAAGAGCAAGAAGAAGAGAGAGCGAAAGAGAGACAAGAGAGAGGAGAGAGAGAAGAGAGGGAGAGAGAGAGAGAGAGAAGAGAGAGAGAGAGAGAGAAGAGAAAGAGGAGAGAAAGAAGAGAGGGAGAAAGAGACAACAGACAAGAGGGAAGAGATAAGAGAAAGAGAAAGGAGAGGAGAGAAGAGTGACAGAGGAAAGAAGAGTGAAGAGAGAGAGAAAAAACAGAGACGAGAGAGAGACAAGAGACAGGTTCATACTGTAACTATAAGGATGGTTTGAAGGAGAGATCTCTAGATGACTCAGACCTGTTTAAACGTGGTTCAGTGTTGTGGTTTGGTGTAGAGTTTTGGACGTTACCGGCTTCGGAGAGCGTCTGGCGCTGGCTGGCCGGCTCCGCCTCCCCGTTGGCGGGCGGCGGGGGCGGGGCTTGGGCCTGTCGGCGGGCGGGGCAGAGGCCGCGGCTGTGCAGGAAGACGGGCAGGTGCACGGCGTTCCTCATGTAGTCGTGTCCGTTGATGTTGGAGTCTCGCAGGACGCTGCTCAGGGACTGATTTATGGCCTTTATGATGATGTGAGGGTCCGACGCAAAGATCGAGATGAACGGACCTTTGGAGAACAAGACGCGCACCTGACCACGAGAACGAGAAGAGGAAGAAGAGGAAAGAAGAGGAAGAGGATTAGTCAAACTTGTCTAAGTCAAACAATCTGCAGTTTCTTTGTGACAGTGGAAGATCTTTGTGGAACTTCCAGTTAATGTTTTTCTGTGTTTTCCAGCAGTTTCATAAATCTGTCCCATCACCAAATCTTCAACCAACAAACTCCACAAAGGACAAACATTCTTCACGAACAATTTATCCACAACTACAGTGTTTCCCTCAGCGCTTTACAGGTGACCCCGGCCTTCACTACGTCCCTCCAAACCACAAGAATCCTCACAAAAACTATGGCTGTCCCGTGGAATCTCCAACTAGGGATGGGCAAGATTAATCGATCAATCGATAATTGATCGTTAAGAATTTCGTGGATTCCCTTGATTTTAATCGACAAACTGAATGTATGTGTGTGTGTCGTGACCAAACAGGTGTGTACATGTGTCTCTGCATCAGAAGGAGCGACACACAAACAGTGGGTCAGTCTGTAACGAACCGAAGCACAAATGTGGATTTAACCAGGATTTGTAGAAGAAATTCCACACTTTCCGTTGCGTTGGGACAAGTGTGAGTCCATGTGCACAGTGGATAAAGCAGCACATATGTTTCTGTGTCCAGTGGGAAAAAGTTTTTCCAGGTGAGAGTCGCTCAATGTGGATGACGAGGCCCCGCCCCCCTCCCCCCGTACGCTGTCCTGGTTTTGACAAACACAAATCTGGTCACACTGACCTGTATTCACCTGAGTCATGTCTTTTAATCCAACACAAGTTGAACCACATCAGCGACACAAGAGCTGGAGTTTTATCTTCACTTAGTTTATGTAAATTAGTGATGTGGTTTTAAGTTTTGTTTCTGTGAGATTTGAACAAAACTGAATTAAACACATTATAATGTCAAACAGCTGATGTGGATCTAGAGTCGTTATGTTTATATGTCGTAAAGTTGAATTTATTGATGCAGATTAGTGCAGATAGTAATAATAATGATGATCATTTTAATAGAAAAACGTTCTGATTAATCGATAATTGATCGTTAATTCTCCCGACGATCGATTAAGAACATTTCATCGAATGCTCGTCCTGACTCCAAACCACGTGAATCCTCACAAAAACTACGGCTGTAGCTGTTCTGATGTCTCATTTAGGACAGTTTGTCCACAGTCAGGAGGTACAAGACTGCCTCCTTCCTCCGCAGGGAGACCGCTCTCCTCCACGTGCGTCTGAGGAGGAGGAGACGAGACGTCCCAGGGACACACTGGAGGGACGATGTCTCTGGACTGGACTGGGAACACCTGGAGGAAGTGTCTGGGGTGAAGGAAGTCTGGGAGTCTCTGCTCAGACTGATGCTCCGAGACCCGACCCCAGAGAAGAAGAAGAACATGGACGGACGGATGGACAGACTCTACGTTGTGACACAGACAATTTGATGCACGACCATAAATTGTGTTTTAAAGTTTGAAACATTTGAACGTTGAAGTGGTCGTGTTCTCCTCCTTGTGGCTGCAGAAAGTTCTCACACCTGTGCGTCTGTTTTGTTTTCCTCATTTGTATTCTGAAATATTTGTTGGAAATGTGAGTGACGTGTGTGAACTGTAGAGCCCTGACAACGACCATCGCCTGTGCCCTTATACGGTCGTGTGTGTGTGACAGGAAGTGACACCAGCACGTGCAGGGAGACAGGAAGTGACCTCACCGTGTCGAGCATGTGCAGAACCTTGTCCTGTTCGCACGAGTCCAAACCGTCGATGACGACCACGAGTCTGGTCTGGTGCTGCGTGAAACTGTCGATGGTCCGAGCCATTTTAGCCATGAGCTCCACCTCCGTCTTCAGCACCTGCCAATCACAGTACACCAGCCAATCAGAGCACAGGACACGTTCAAACTGACCAATCACGCTACAGACAACCTGCCAATCACACCACGAGCCAATCAGAGCAGGGCAAGCATTCAAACTGACCAATCACACGACAGAGCTACACCTCCATCAGAACCTGGGTCTGGACCAGGTCTTGGAGGTGGATCTGATCAGGTTTTGATAGGTCTGGACGAGGTTTGGGGATGGGTCTGGATCAGGTTTTAGAGGTGGATCTGATCACATTTAGATGGATCTGGACCAGGTTTTGGAGGTGATCTGGACCCTGGTCTTGGAGGTGGATCTGATCAGGTTTTGGAGGTGGACCTGATCAGGTTCTGGTGTTCCTGCACTGACCTTCATGAAGCCCTCGCTCTTGAGCTTGTGCAGCCTGGTGGTGGCGCTGTGGAGGCGGCTGCGCTGGGAGTGGAGCAGAGAGTGGATCATGTGGAACCAGGTTTTACAGTGAAGCAGAAGAGGCAACGCGATGACCGAAGCCAGGCCCACCAGAACCGCCCTGACCGCGTCGTTATAGTCCTGAAACACAAGAGGAACACGTCAGACGCCCTCCCAGACCCACCACAACCTCCAGAACCTCCAGAACCGCCCGGACCGTGTCGTTATAGTCCTGAAACACAAAAGGAGCACGTCAGACGCCCTCCCGGACCCGCCAGAACCTCCAGAACCACGTCGTTAAGAGTCCTGAAAGACAGAGGAACGTGTCAGATCCCGTCCCCGTGTTTCAGACCTACCTCCTCAGATCCCTCCAGACCGGGACCAGACTTGGATCCGGACTCGGCCCTGAGGAAGGCCAGAAGACTGAGTCCTCCCAGAACGCAGAGGAGCACCATCGAGAAGAGGAGAACCGAAGGAACGCAGCAGGAACGCTTCCACTTCCTCTTCCCTGCAACACAAGACCTGCTTTAGTCCTGGTTCAGTCCTGGTTTAGTCCTGGTTCAGTCCTGGTTTAGTCCTGGTTCAGTCCTGGTTCAGTCCTGGTTCGGTCCTGATTTAGTCCTGGTTTAGTCCTGGTCTGGTTCTCACCCTGGTTCTCCTCGGTCTTGAACACTCGGTACAGTCTGGTTTAGTCCTGGTTTAGTCCTGGTTTAGTCCTGGTCTGGTTCTCACCCTGGTTCTCCTCGGTCTTGAACACTCGGTACAGTCTGGTTTAGTCCTGGTTTAGTCCTGGTTTAGTCCTGGTTTAGTCTGGTTCTCACCCTGGTTCTCCTCGGTCTTGAACACTCGGTACAGTCTGGTTCAGTCCTGGTTTAGTCCTGGTTTAGTCCTGGTTTAGTCCTGGTCTGGTTCTCACCCTGGTTCTCCTCGGTCTTGAACACTCGGTACAGTCTGGTGGCGATGAATCCAAACTCTCGCTCGCAGGCGTCGGACAGAGTGGAGATCATCTCCGCCATCGACGTTTCTCCTCCGACTGAAGACAGACGACTGTAGTCTGTGAACAGGAACCTGAGAAGAGACAGACACACGACTAAGACCAAGACCGGGACTAAGACCAGGACCAGGACCCTAGAGTGTATAAAAAACCCACAGCATTCAGATCCAGTCAAATGAAGCTCAGTGATGCTGTGGTCAAAGGAGTGGATTTGGAGTTTTTTAAAGGACAAAATAACGAAATAAAACCCCTCATATTAATGGTAGACGGACCCAGGATCATGTGGAGCCAGTTCATATTAAACCTAAACACTGAGGCTCACAGCAGCAGGACCACAGACGAGCCACAATATTCTAATGGAAGTTTAAGGGAGCCAGAGTGAGAAGGAGCCAGAAGAACTTGTAGTTTTATATGTGTCCAGTCAAGTGTTAACGGAGGAAACAGGGTCAGATTTTTGACATTCAAATGTCTCTTATTCAGAAACTAGAGGAACTATTGAAATAAGTAAAGTATCAGAATGTAGGAAAGAGTTACACTCCAACAGGGTCAAGTTAAACCTGTGAGATTCTTTCAAGTTCAACACAAAAAATTAAAAAAAACTCATGTTGGTAACGGAGGGAATGAAATATGCAGCACTTTTTGGTCAATAAATCCAAACAGTGATAACTCTTGGTTCTCACTTCCATATCCTTAACAAACTGGTTTGAATATTTGCTTCATATAGTTTTCTACCATATGGTACAAGATTAGGTTGAAAAACCTCTGACTTTTTGACTCATGAGATTTTTTATTAAGAAAGTTCATGGTAACGGAGGGAAAAGTAACGGAGGGAAAATTGTACAAACAAGTAGAAGGTGCAGGATTTTACATCATTTGTGGCTTTTTTCTTCTGAAAACTTTAATATTACTTCAAAATGAAAGAAACTATTTCTATAAAATATGTCAGTCCTTCCAAGAACATTTTTATCATTTTAAATACTTTTTTTTTTTTAAATCCTGTTCCTTCATCAACAGTTCAAAGATGGAATAACACAAGATATGATGAAATACAAACATTTATTTACATGATTTTCAGGTCTTTGAAATTTGGGAAATAATTTTTGTTCCATGTTTCATTCATGGTCTGTTTAAAACGGATGGAACTTTAGAACCAAAAATGGAACAGAAAAAAGGTGAACAGTTTGATAAACTCGAGTACATATGTATCTGTTCAATACACTTTTATATCAGATGAATTAAATTGAATTTCTGACCTTGATGTTTACTTCTGCTTGACCAGGATTTTATTGTAATTGGTGTTTATTATATTTGTGTCTGGTTTGTTTTGTGGAGTTATATATTTGTTTGTTGTGGTACCTGACGGGCAGAGCTCTGGTGCTCTGCTCTGGAAGCTCTGGAGGATTCACAAACATGAGCTTCAGCAGCAGCTCCAGGTATCCAAGGTGACGAGCCAGAGCCGTACTGAGGAGCCACGCCCACGTCCACGACTCGCCCTCTCTGCGCCCGCCAAAGTACACCACCACTGAAACAGACAGACACAGGGTTCAGACCAGGACCAGACCAGACCAGGACCAGACCAGACCAGACCAGACCAGGACCAGGACCAGGACCAGACCAGACCAGGACCAGACCAGGACCAGACCAGGACCAGAGCCTGAGCCCGCCAAAGTACACCACCACTGAAACAGACAGACACAGGGTTCAGACCAGGACCAGACCAGACCAGACCAGACCAGACCAGGACCAGGACCAGACCAGACCAGACCAGACCAGACCAGGACCAGACCAGACCAGACCAGACCAGACCAGACCAGGACCAGACCAGACCAGACCAGACCAGACCAGACCAGGACCAGACCAGGACCAGACCAGGACCAGACCAGGACCAGGACCAGACCAGGACCAGACCAGACCAGGACCAGGACCAGACCAGACCAGACCAGGACCAGACCAGGACCAGACCAGGACCAGACCAGACCAGACCAGACCAGACCAGGACCAGGACCAGGACCAGACCAGGACCAGACCAGGACCAGACCAGACCAGGACCAGACCAGACCAGACCAGACCAGGACCAGACCAGACCAGACCAGGACCAGACCAGACCAGGACCAGGACCAGGACCAGACCAGGACCAGGACCAGGACCAGACCAGACCAGACCAGGACCAGACCAGACCAGACCAGACCAGACCAGACCAGACCAGACCAGGACCAGGACCAGACCAGACCAGGACCAGACCAGACCAGACCAGACCAGACCAGGACCAGACCAGGACCAGACCAGGACCAGACCAGGACCAGACCAGACCAGACCAGACCAGGACCAGGACCAGGACCAGACCAGACCAGACCAGACCAGACCAGACCAGGACCAGACCAGACCAGGACCAGACCAGACCAGACCAGACCAGACCAGGACCAGACCAGACCAGACCAGGACCAGACCAGACCAGACCAGGACCAGACCAGACCAGGACCAGACCAGGACCAGACCAGACCAGACCAGACCAGACCAGGACCAGACCAGACCAGACCAGACCAGACCAGGACCAGGAGGACCAGACCAGGACCAGACCAGGACCAGGACCAGACCAGGACCAGGACCAGACCAGGACCAGAGCCTGAGACTTTCTCTCCTCTAGTTTGATTCTTAGTTCATCTCCAGGCAGTAAAATAGTTCTTGTGTATCACAGACTCCAGTTTGTTCCTTTCACACCAAACCTGGTTCCTCTGATGTTTGTCCAGGACGGTTCCACTGCACGAGGCTCTTTGACGCCGAGGCCGAGACACACACCAGACGCCTCGGTCGTCTCCCGTCTCACCCAGCAGCAGCCTCCCCACAGACAGAGCGGGTCTGTCCCTGTCCCCTCCAGCAGAGACCGAACTACAGGCGGACGCGGTTTCTCGAGCCCAGCTAAGAGCCTCACAAACTCACAACCCTCTGCACACGACCCCGGCCCCCCCCCACACCCCTTAACCATAACACAGGGACCCGGCCTGGTGCACTCGATGACATCATGAGTGTCCCTCCCATGATGCATCTGGAGAGTTGGTTTGGAGTAGTTTGGTTAGTAGTAGTATTTAGTATTTAGTATTTAGTATTTCTCACCAAAGAAGAGGTAGAGCAGAGCGAGCAGACTCAGAGCCACGGCCAGAGCCAAACGAGGATCCACGGTGAAGCCCAGAACCAGACCCACGGACCCACACAGGACCAGGGTCAGAACCAGGACCAACCACGAGAACCGGAACAGAGGCTGCACCTGCTGCCCCGCGAACGTCTTCATCTCATCTGCAACACGAGAACAACGCTCAGACCAGGACCAGACCAGGACCAGGACCAGACCTGGACCAGACCAGGACCAGGACCAGACCTGGACCAGGACCAGACCTGGACCAGGACCAGACCAGAACCAGACCAGACCAGACCAGACCAGACCAGACCAGACCAGGACCAGACCGACCAGGACCAGACCAGACCAGACCAGACCAGACCAGACCAGGACCAGGACCAGGACCAGGACCAGGACCAGACCAGGACCAGACCAGGACCAGGACCAGACCAGGACCAGACCAGGACCAGGACCAGACCAGACCAGACCAGACCAGGACCAGACCAGACCAGACCAGGGACCAGACCAGGACCAGGACCAGGACCAGACCAGGACCAGGACCAGGACCAGGACCAGACCAGACCAGACCAGACCAGACCAGACCAGACCAGGACCAGACCAGGACCAGGACCAGGACCAGACCAGACCAGACCAGACCAGGACCAGACCAAGACCAGGACCAGAACCAGGACCAGACCAGGACCAGCCAGGACCAGGACCAGACCTGGACCAGACCAGACCAGGACCAGACCAGGACCAGACAGGACAGACCAGACCAGACCCAGACCAGACCAGGACCAGACCAGACCAGACCAGACCAGGACCAGGACCAGACCAGGACCAGAACCAGACAGGACCAGACCAGACCAGACCAGACCAGACCAGACCAGGACCAGACCAGACCAGACCAGGACCAGACCAGGACCAGACCAGACCAGACCAGACCAGGACCAGACCAGGACCAGACCAGGACCAGGACCAGGACCAGACCAGGGACCAGACCAGGACCAGACCAGGACCAGACCAGACCAGACCAGACCAGGACCAGGACCAGACCACCAGACCAGGACCAGACCAGACCAGACCAGACCAGACCAGACCAGACCAGACCAGACCAGACCAGACCAGACCAGGACCAGACCAGGACCAGGACCAGGACCAGGACCAGGACCAGACCAGGACCAGACCAGACCAGGACCAGGACCAGACCAGGACCAGACCAGGACCAGGACCAGACCAGGACCAGAACCGGACAAAGACTCAGGTCTAAACCAGGTCTAAACCAGGTCTAAACCAGGTCTAAACCAGGTCTAAACCAGGTCTTACCCTCGAGTTTCTTGAGCAGGAAGGACTTGCCCGAGCCCCACTGGGCGTACAGTCCCACACAGATGGGCGGCTGCATCGTTGGTTCACTCAGAATATCTGCCAGAGCCGAAGAATACAGATCATACCCCAACATGTCCCCCCCCGAGTCCGACGGGGACAGGTGTCCTGCAGGAGACAGGAGAGACACACAGGTGAGACACAGGTGAGACACACAGGTGAGACACAGGTGAGACACACAGGTGAGACACAGAGACACAGGTGAGACACACAGGTGAGACACAGGTGAGTCACACAGGTGAGACACAGGTGAGACACACAGGTGAGACACACAGGTGAGACACACAGGTGAGACACACAGGTGAGACACACAGGTGAGACAGGTGAGACACACACAGGTGAGACACACAGGTGAGACACACACAGGTGAGACAGGTGAGACACACAGGTGAGAGACACAGGTGAGTCACACAGGTGAGACACACAGGTGAGACACACAGGTGAGAGAGACACACAGGTGAGTCACACAGGTGAGACACACAGGGTGAGACACACACAGGTGAGACACAGGTGAGACACAGGTGAGACAGGAGAGAGACACAGGTGAGACACACACAGGTGAGACAGGAGACACACAGGTGAGACACACAGGTGAGACACACAGGTGAGACAGGAGACACAGGTGAGTCACACAGGTGAGACACACACAGGAGACACACAGGTGAGACACACAGGTGAGGGTGAGACACACAGGAGACACACAGGTTGAGTCACACAGGTGAGACACACAGGTGAGACACACAGGAGAGACACACAGGTGAGACAGGAGAGACACAGGTGAGACACACAGGTGAGACACACAGGTGAGACACACAGGTGACACAGGTGAGACAGGAGAGACACAGGTGAGACACACAGGTGAGACACAGGTGAGACAGGAGACACAGGTGAGACACACAGGTGAGACAGACACAGGTGAGACACAGGTGAGACACACAGGTGAGACACACAGGTGAGACACACAGGTGAGACACACAGGTGAGACACACAGGTGAGACACACAGGTGAGACAGGTGCCCCTACAGGAGACAGGTAAGGAGAAATTTAAAAAAAGAGGATCAGAGGAGGGTCAGAGGAGGGTCAGAGGAGGGAGGGGGTCAGGGGGGTCAGAGGGTCAGAGAGGAGGTCAGAGGAGGGTCAGAGGAGGTCAGAGGAGGGTCAGAGGGGTCAGGGGGTCAGAGGTAGGGGGTGCAGGGTCAGAGGAGTCAGAGAGGGTCAGAGGAGGGTCAGAGGAGGGTCAGAGGGTCAGAGGAGGGTCAGGGGATCAGAGGAGGGTCAGAGGAGGGTCAGGGGGTCAGAGGGTCAGAGTATGACGTGTATGTTCTCGTACGTGCTCCAAAGATCTGCGTGAGGATCAGAGGAGGGTCAGAGGAGGGTCAGAGGAGGGTCAGAGGAGGGTCAGGGGGTCAGAGGGGGGTCAGAGGGGGTCAGAGGAGGGTCAGAGGAGGGTCAGAGGGGTCAGAGTATGACGTGGATGTTCTCGTACGTGCTCCAAAGATCTGCGTGAGGATGCTCTTCTGGTGGTTGCAGTCGATGTTGTAGGGCGTCTCTCCGCTCTTGTTGGGTCGGTACAGGAGGCGTCCGTCTTTCGGGTTCCTCAGCAGCAGCTCGGCCAATCGTCTGCTCCGACCGCGGATCGCGATGTGCAGCGGCGTGTCCCCCCTCTGCACGAGAACCAGACTGAACCGGACTGAACCAGACTGAACCAGGTCTAAACCAGGACTAAACCAGGACCATACCTTGTCCACAGCTGAGACTTTGGCTCCTTTGTCCAGCAGAAGTTCCACGATCTCGATGTTCCTCATCTTTGTGGCTTTGATCAGCGGCGTCTCTCCATCCTGAAAACACAAACACGTCACAACCTCCTCTGCATCATCCTCTGAACCTCTGACCTTCTCCTCTGCTCCTCTGACCTTCCACTGCTCCTCTGCTCCTCTGACCTTCTCCTCTGCTCCTCTGACCTTCTCCACTGCTCCTCTGACCTGCTCCTCTGCCTTCCTCTGACCTTCTCCACTCTCCACTGCTCCTCTGACCTTCTCCTCTGCTCCTCTGACCTTCTCCTCTGCTCCTCTACTGCCTCTCTCCTCTCTGACCTTTCTCTGCTCTGACCTTCCTCTGACCTTCTCCTCCACCTTCTCCTCTGACCTTCTCCTCTGCCTCCTCTGACCTTCTCCTCTCTCTGACCTTCTCCTCTGCTGACCTTCTCCACTGCTCCTCTGACCTTCTCCTCTGCCTCCTCTGACCTTCTCCACTGACCTTTCCTTCTCACTGCTCCTCTGACCTTCTCCACCTTCTCTGACCTTCTCTCTGCTCCTCTGCCTTCTCTCTGACTCCTCTGACCTTCTCCTCTGCTCCTCTTGCTCCTCTGACCTTCTCCTCTGCTCCTTTGACCTTCTCCTCTGACCTTCTCCTCCTCTGCCTTCCTCTGACCTTCTCCTCTGCTCCTTGACTCCTCTGACCTTCTCCACTGCTCCTCTGACCTTCTCCACTGCTCCTCTGACCTTCTCCACTGCTCCTCTGACCTTCTCCTCTGCTCCTCTGCTCCTCTGACCTTCTCCACTGCTCCTCTGACCTTCTCCACTGCTCCTCTGACCTTCTCCTCTGCTCCTCTGACTCCTCTGACCTTCTTCCACTGCTCCTTCTGACCTTCTCCTCTGCTCCTCTGACCTTCTCCACCTCCTCTCTCTCTCTGCTCCTCTGCTCCTCTGACCTTCTCCTCTGCTCCTCTGACCTTCTCCACTGCTCCTCTGACCTTCAGAGTTGTCTGTAGCGCCCCCTGTGGTCTGACCTTGGTGTATGTCTCTGTGTCGGGGTTACACTGCAGGATGTCTCGGACCATGGTGGAGTTTCCTTTCTCCACCGCCCAGTACAGAGCCGTCTTCCCCTCCTGAAACACACACACATGAAGCACACAGGTGAGACAGACAGGTGAGACAGACAGGTGAGACAGACAGGTGAGACAGGTGAGACAGGTGACAGACAGGTGAGACAGACAGGTGAGACAGGTGAGACAGGTGAGACAGACAGGTGAGACAGACAGGTGAGACAGGTGAGACAGACAGGTGAGACAGACAGGTGAGACAGACAGGTGAGACAGTGAGACAGGACAGGTGAGACAGGTGAGACAGACAGGTGAGACAGGTGAGACAGACAGGTGAGACAGGTGAGACAGGTGAGTGAGTCTTGTTTCCAGGAGCACGGTTCTGTTTGGGACGCCCTGACACAGAACACCCTGACGTGGGGAGTGTTTCCATGACGACAGGCGGACGAGCAGGAGGCTGACGGTTCATGTGTTTGAGCTGAAGTGTTTCGGGGGCGTTTGGTTCGGTGCAGGTTTGTGCTCGAGTGAGTTTGTTCAGTTTGTGTGTGTTTATATTCAGTCTCGACAGGTGCAGCTCCACAGAGACTCGGCTCTTTAATGTTCACGAGGAACTGGTCTGTGTGAACATCCCTCCCAACCACCAGAATCCAAAAACCTACAGCCGTGGCGCCGTGGTCCTCACGCTCACCTTTGGCCGCCTCGTACCTGCGACCTCTGACCCCGGCAAAAGTGTTGTTTTTTCTGTCCAAAAATCTGAAGCTTGAGTAAAAGTTCGTGCTGCACTTTACTTTTTGAAAAGTTTTGTTTACTGTTTACAAGGAATTTATTTTTTATAATATTTCAAACATTTGTTGCTTATTTGAGAATATTTGATTTCACTTATGGTCCTGGTCAAACAGAAGTAAACAACAAGACCAAAACTTCCAGTGAATTCATCTGATATAAAAGTGTATTGAACAGATACATATGTACTCGAGTTTATCAAACTGTTCACCTTTTTTCTGTTCCATTTTTGGTTCTAAAGTTCCATCCGTTTTAAACAGACCATGAATGAAACATGGAACAAAAATTATTTCCCAAATTTCAAAGACCTGAAAATCATGTAAATAAATGTTTGTATTTCATCATATCTTGTGTTATTCCATCTTTGAACTGTTGATGAAGGGACAGGATTTAAAAAAAAAAAAAGTATTTAAAATGATAAAAATGTTCTTGGAAGGACTGACATATTTTATAGAAATAGTTTCTTTCATTTTGAAGTAATATTAAAATATTCAGAAGAAAAAAGCCACAAATGATGTAAAATCCTGCACCTTCTACTTGTTTGTACAATTTTCCCTCCGTTACTTTTCCCTCCGTTACCATGACTTTCTTAATAAAAAATCTCATGAGTCAAAAAGTCAGAGGTTTTTCAACCTAATCTTGTACCATATGGTAGAAAACTATATGAAGCAAATATTCAAACCAGTTTGTTAAGGATATGGAAGTGAGAACCAAGAGTTATCACTGTTTGGATTTATTGACCAAAAAGTGCTGCATATTTCATTCCCTCCGTTACCAACATGAGTTTTTAAATTTTTTGTGTTGAACTTGAAAGAATCTCACAGGTTTAACTTGACCCTGTTGGAGTGTAACTCTTTCCTACATTCTGATACTTTACTTATTTCAATAGTTCCTCTAGTTTCTGAATAAGAGACATTTGAATGTCAAAAATCTGACCGTTTCCTCCGTTAACACTTGACTGGACCCTTGTCAGTTTTACCAAGCAGAACTTTGACTTTATTTTATTTTCCCATTTGTAAAATGTTCAAACTAATTGTTGTTTTAACCGTGACCTTGAAACCGAGATACATACTGAACTGTGATTTTTGTTCCGTTACAAAACCACTGTGACTCCTGTGCCTGTGGTTTAAAGTCTGAACTGCTGATCCTGTGTCATCCACGTTCTCTGAGGCTAACTGGAGGCACTGCTCTGTCTGAACTTAGGGCTAATCTGAATTTTATTTTAACACAGTCTGACCAGAAAGAACTGACTCAGGTGAACTCCAACATGTGATCTGATCTGTGCTGTTAAACACGGCCCCAGTGGCCACACGCTGGTACTACAACGAAAAACTCCCCCAGGCCCAGAAAGGATTTACCCCATAGAGCGCAATTAATCACAAACTGCTCCTGTTCGACTGACAGGGGCTGACAGGAGCTGACAGGGGCTGACAGGGGCTGACAGGGGCTGACAGGGGCTGACAGGGGCTGACAGGGCACCAACAACTTTAAAAAAATGTCAGATTTTGTGGCAATTTTTGTTGTTCTCTTAAAACCTTTCTGACGTCGTTTGTGAGCGTGTGAATTGCGTCTCTACAGTAACAGCTGAACATTCCACCACAGACGCACATGTAGAATCCCCCCTGCAGGTGTAGATGTCGTGTGCGGCGGGAGGTACCTGTCCTCTGATGTCGATGTCGGCGTATTTGTGCAGCAGAGCCCGAACGATCTCCACGTGTCCTCCTCTCACCGCCCCGATCAACACCGTGTCTCCACTCTGACCAAACACACACACTTTAGACCTGGTCCAGTCCTGGTTTAGTCCTGGTTTAGTCCTGGTTTAGTCCTGGTCCAGTCCTGGTTTAGTCCTGGTTTAGTCCTGGTTTAGTCCTGGTTTAGTCCTGGTTTAGTCCTGGTTTAGTCCTGGTTTAGTCCAGTTTTAGTCCTGTTTCAGTCCTGGTTCAGTCCCGGTTTAGTCCAGTTTTAGTCTAGTTTTTAGTTTTAGTCCTTTTAGTCCAGTTTCCTGTTTTAGTCCCGGTTTAGTCCAGTTTTAGTCCTGGTTTTAGTCCAGTTTTTAGTCCCCCAGTTTTAGTCCTTTTAGTCCAGTTTTAGTCCAGTTTTAGTCCCGATTTAGTCCAGTTTTAGTCCAGTTTTAGTCCAGTTTTAGTCCAGTTTTAGTCCTGGTTTAGTCCCGGTTTAGTCCAGTTTTAGTCCTTAGTCCCGTTTTAGTCCCGTTTTAGTCCTGGTTTAGTCCAGTTTAATCCAGTTTTAGTCCTGGTTTAGTCCAGTTTAATCAAGTTTTAGTCCTGGTTTAGTCCTGGTTTAGTCCAGTTTTAGTCCCGGTCCAGTCCCGGTCCAGTCCCGGTCCAGTCCCGGTCCAGTCCCGGTCCTGACCCGGTCTGGGATGTTCACGTAGGTCCCGGCCTCCAGCAGGTCCTGGACGATCTCGGTGAATCCTTCTTTGGCGGCGATCATCAGCGCCGTGTTCCCGTCTTTGTCCGTCATGTTCACGTTGGGGTTCCTCTTCAGGAGCTCCTTCACCACCTCCGTGTAGCCGCCGCGCACCGCCACGATCAGCGCCGTCATCGAGTTCTGACCACAGACAAACGGGTCAGAACCACACACGCCCCAGTGCCAGTTCAGACGATGTTATGTTTTTCACTTTAGATGCTGATTGTGACTCTGTGTTTAAGTATCTGCAGGTACCGAGCGCAGACGCTGAAAACAACTATTTTACTTTAAACTAAAATAAAATAAAACATAACTGATCATGCAGCTGTCATTTATCCCTCAAGTAAACACAAAACAGAACATTACGAGACTTTCTGCTCTAACTGGAGCCTGGAAATCTTCTGATTTTTGTCATTTTGTCATTTTGTCACATCAGTCAGGATATCGAACTCTGACTCAGGTTAAACTCAGGAAAGTTTATTTGTTCCATTAAATGTAGAATTTTAAATCCCGCTGAATTTATCACTACTCTGTCTGAATTATTTTATTCAGATATTTTAGTTGCTGAAATTTTAAGTGTACTTTTTCAATATTCCTATCGAATAATATTCATATTATATTTTTCAATAAAAATTCAGCAGCGTATAAAATTCAAAATCTGATGGAACAAATGATCTTCTACATCAGAAGTGTCAAACTCATTTTGTTTCAGGGGTCGTGTCCAACTTACTTTAATCCAAAGTGAAACTCACGTCATATAAACCCCAAAAATAACAATAAGTTCAAATATTTGTGCAGAGAAACACAAATCTATTACACAAATCTTTTTTAACTGATGAACTCTTTCTTTTACAAAATATTATAATATTATGAACAACCTGAAACAAACCAAAAAAAATGCATTTTCAACACAAAGTTTGAACATGAACTTGTGCATTTCATAGAATTTAGTCGAGTTTTCTTTTTGCTCCTGAAACTTTTCATTTTTTATCCTGCACAAGTTCATCAGGATCAGACACCGTGAGGAGCTGTGGTCTTCAGAACGTCACTCAGGTGCTCGTGTGTTTGTGTGTTTGTGTGTTCAGCTTTGAGCGCAGATAAGTTTTATTCATGTTCATTACTGAGAAAACCTGCTCACAAACGTAGTAACTGTAAATGTATTATTTCTGTAAATCTATTATTTCTGTAAATCTATTATTTCTGTAAATCTATTATTTCTGTAAATCTATTATTTGTCGTTGTCTGCGGGACATCTGAGGTTTTGACTGTGAACGGTGTGTGAAAAATTGAAAATTCTGTCTTCAGGTTTTAAAACATAATTGAAATATTTTAGTAGAAAATCATCCGAGGGCCAGATTAAATGTCCCCGTGTTCTCCAGGCTCCTGTCACGGGATCGATTCTGTCTGTGATAAAGTATAAAGTACATGAAGTGCTCCGTACCGCCCCCTCCTGGTCGACGTCGGCGCCGTTCTCCAGCAGGTGCATCACACAGTCGTAGTGTCCTTTCCGCGCCGCCCAGATCAGAGGAGTGGTGCCGTACTGAAAAACACAAACTCACGTTAACAGGATCATCATAAAAACATGAAAAAACAGAAGAAAAAGAAATAAAAAACTACAGAGACGAGACTAAATCCATTTTACACTGAGATGGAGTGAATGTTTTTACAAATATAATAATATAATTCACTAAACTACAGAGATGGTGTTAGTTTATTTCTTTCTGTTTGTATGAGTGTGTGTTTTTGTAGTCCAGAGGAGCGGTGCATGCTGGTCCGTGTCGTCCGTGTGACTGAACCTTGTCGGAGCAGTTGACTTTGGCGCCGTGATCCAGTAACAGTTTGACGATCTCCGAGTGTCCTCGACCCGCCGCCCAAATGATCGGGTACACGCTGTACTGCTGCAAAACACAGAGAGACCGGGGTTAGACCGGGACCGGGACCAGGACCAAGACCGGGACCAGGACCAGGACCAGAGCAGTACCTGTCCGGTGGTGTTGGGGTTGGCTCCTTCTTCCAGCAGGAGTTTGGCGACTTCAGTTCGTCCTTTGTAACAGGACCAGGTCAGAGCCGTCCACCCGCCCTGAAACACAACAACACTTTACACCAGATCCCAGATATTTTACTTTTATTTTACTCTCATTTTCCCTCCGTTCTCCTCTCTGTCTGTCGCGTATTTGTCCAATCCACTTTATTTCTGTCGCACATTTCACAAACAAACAGTTTCCAAAGTGCTGCACAAAAACATAATAACAACAACAATAATAAAACGATAAAATAAACTACTAAAATAATACTAGTCTTAAAATAATAAAACCAGTCAAATTAAATAAAAACAAAAGCATAGAATATAAATAAATAAACCAATAAATAAATGAAATCAATAAAAACACATAAAAATAAATCAAAAACACAGAGGAGCACATAACTCTCGCAGTGTTAAGGTTCGTTCACACCAAAGCGTCAAAGTGTCCAGTTTCTATGTAAAGTCCATGTGGACGCGACTACAGCGTCCTGCGTTTTTGCTGCACGTCTTGAGCGTTTTAGCGTCGGCGTTTTAGCGTCGGCGTCTAGACGCACGTCCAAGGAGTCAGCGTCAAGAAGTTGAAAATGTTGAACTTTTCGCATCAGATGAGCCGCGTCGACCAATCAGGGACGAGTATCCAGAGACTCAGCGACGTTATTATCAGGAAGAAAAACCCCAGAACCACAAACATGAACGGAACATAAATATATACACCACAAACACCTAGACCAGGACCGGACCAGGACTACACCAGGACCGGACCAGGACTACACCAGGACTGGACCAGGACTAAACAAGGACTAGACCGAGAAAAGACCGAGACTAAACCAGGACTGGACCGGGACTAGACCGTGATTAGACCGGGACTAGACCGGGACTAGACCAGGACTAGACCAGGACTAGACCAGGACTAGACCAGGACTAGACCGGGACTGATCCAGTGTCATTAGTGGAGTATAAATATAAACTCACTCCAGTCTTCGAGTCGATTTCCTCCGCTGATGTTTTATGTGATAAAAACTCTAAAGTCTCAGTCTGGTCTGACATTGTTTCGGGAAAAGTCCAGGACCGGGCTCTTGTTTCCAGGGCAACGGACGCACGTCAAGTATTTTTGTCCCGTTGGTCCACGGCGTCAAAGACACGAGCGTCGGGGGCGTCTGAACTCAAATGCAAAGGCTCCAAAAAGAAACGTCAAGGCGTTTTTTGACGCTTTGGTGTGAACGAACCTTTAAAAGTTAAAAGTAAATAAAATAAATAAAAGTGGGTCTTAAGACGAGACTTAAAACTCTCCACTGTGGAGCTGTTCAGATGTGGGGGGGCAGAGTGTTCCAGAACGTTCCAGAGTTTAGGGCCGACCACAGGAAGGTCCTGTCCCCCCTGGTTTTAAGTCTCGTCTTAGGCCCCCTGAGCTGGAGCTGGACCTCAGACCTCAGACCTCAGACCTCAGACCTCAGACCTCGGCCTCAGACCTCAGACCTCAGACCTCAGACCTCAGACCTCAGACCTCAGACCTCAGGACCTCAGCGGGGGTGTTAATCTGGATGAGGTCCCGAGACGAACGTCGTCGACTTTATCGTCCAACAGACTGAGATTTGTTTTCATGAGTCTGGTTACAGATGAGAGTTTGAGTCTGAATGATCGAGTTCTGTTCTGTGTCTGTGCTTCTGCAGTTTGTTTTTTAAACCAGCAGATGGCGCTAGAGACGCACCAACACAGAGCTCCTCCTCCTGTGTGTCCGTGTGTGTGTCTGTGTGTGTGCGTGTGTGTCTGTGTGTGTGTCTGTGTGTGTCTGTGTGTGTGTGCGTGTGTGTGTGTGTGTGTGTGTGTGTGTGTGTGTGTGTGTGTGTGTGTGTGTGTGTGTGTGTGTGTGTGTGTGTGTGTGTGTGTCTGTGTGTGTGTGTGTGTGTGTGTGTCTGTGTGTGTGTGTGTGTGTGTGTGTCTGTGTGTGTGTGTGTGTGTGTGTGTGTGTGTGTGTGTGTGTCAGGTCACATGTGTGTGCCGCTGAACGTGTTTGGATACATAAATATTTCCCACGATGCCTCGCTGCTCTCACCATGTCGCGGTGCTCGATGTAGGCGCTGTTCTCCAGCAGTTCCCTCACCACGTCCAGGTGTCCTTCCTTCGCCGCCGAGATCAGAGCCGACCAGCAGTCCTACGGAAACACGGCGGAGAGCGCGGGTCAACGGGCTAACCACTCTGCCACACGCCGGAAACCAGAACCAGGACATACTGAAGTGGATCTGGAGCAGGTGACAGGTCACACGTTCCACCCAAACACAGTTCAGATCTTTATATTTAAACTCTTACTGAAGATTTGACTTTTCTCTTCCAAATTAGGTTTAAATTGTTTTTCTCGTCTGGAAATCGTGACCTCACACCAGGTAGAAGTGTAACTGACCCAAAACTGCTCTAAAGTCACACAAATTATGACTCGATTAATAAAAACACAACAAAACATGATAGTGATTTTGATTTTGTTGATTTTGATTTTGAGGAGTGATTTTGTTGAAATAATAATTACAAAGAAACTGAAAAAACGATGTCATCAGTGTGTTTCGAACTCTTTACTTCTGTAACTTGCAGACATATTTTTCAACTTTTCTTCTCAAACGGCTCTTGATTCATGTAAAACTCTTATTTTTATTTACAGCAGGTTTTATCAGAGTGAATGAATCAGAAAAGAGAGAAACATCATCTTTAAACTGTGTCATATTCAAGGATTGAGGTCGTGGGTCTGACTTTGTCCTCGTGGTGTGAGTGTGTGTGTTGAAAACCCGTCCACACACTCACACACACTCAGACGTATGTGCAGGTCACCCCCGGCGACAGGAGAGTGTTTCCATGGAGACTGTTTCCAGGTAACACGTCTCCATCGCTCACCAGAGAACAACAGTATTGATCTGAGAGACGAGTGTGTGTTTGTCTCGGTGTGATGTGTGTGTGTGTGTGTAATGGTATATGTGCATGTGTGTATATGTGTGTGTGTGTGTGTGTGTGTGTGTGTGTGTGTATGTGTGCATGTGTCTCTGTGTGTGTGTTCTGACCACATCGTCCAGGTTGACGTTGGCTCCTCTTCGGATCAGTTCCTGGACGATCTCCAGACTGCCCTGCTCCGCCGCCAACATCAGAGGAGTCTGACCGTTCTGTAAAACACACACACACACACGGATTTATACACACACACACACACACACACACAGCCTGCTGCAGCAGGAGACTGATCGCCCCCTGCTGACTGTGACCTGAACTACAACAGTCCAGGTCAAAATACTGTGCATTATCCTCATGGTTCCTGGTTCTAAACCCGAGCTCTGACATGTGAGGTGTGACATGTGAGGTGTGACATGTGAGGTGTGAGGTGTGTCAGTTCTCACGTCACTGCGTCCGTCCACCTCCTTGTATCGGTCCAGATGAGCCCTGAGCCCGGCCAGGTTCTCCTCCTCCACCAGAACAAACAGGTTCTGGATGGCCAGAGTGGTCATCTTTATGGACGTGGTGGTGTCCATGTCTGCGCACGGCTGAAGGTCTGTCTGAAGGAACCAAAAACACGGGTAAAAGTGGGTCAGAACCGGGACTAAAGTGTGTGTGATTTGTGTGTGACGTGTCGTGTGATGACGTCATCGTGGTTCTGTTCGGTTCTGCAGGTGTGAGTGCGGAACACAGAACCCACAGGAATCACACGGTTCTAAAGTCCCAGTGTGAGTCACCCTAAAGCTCCAAAAAGTTTATTTTGGGATATTTTTTATATAAATAAGTATATAAAACATAAAATGAATAAAAAATTAACTTTGGATATTTTTTATTGGATGCCTTATTTTATATCCAAAGTTTATTTTTTATTCATTTTATGTTTTATACGGGTCTGGGTCTGTCTCGGTCTCGGGTCTGTCGGGTCTGGGTCTGTCCGGGTCTGTCCGGGTCTGTCCGGGTCTGTCTCGGGTCTGTCTGGGGTCTGTCCGGGTCTGTCTGGGTCTGTCTCGGTCTGTCTCGGTCTGTCTGTCGGGTCTGTCCGGGTCTGTCTCGGGTCTGTCTGGGTCTGTCCGGTCTGTCTCGGTCTGTCTGGGTCTGTCCGGGTCTGTCCGGGTCTGTCTCGGGTCTGTCTCGGGTCTGTCCGGGTCTGTCTCGGTCTGTCTCGGGTCTGTCCGGGTCGGGTCTGTCGGGTCTGTCTCGGTCTGTCCGGGTCTGTCGGGTCTGTCGGGTCTGTCTCGGGTCTGTCTGGGGTCTGTCCGGGTCTGTCTCTGTCTGGTCTGTCTCTGGGTCTGTCCGGGTCTGTCTCGGGTCTGTCTCGGGTCTGTCTCTGTCTCTGTCCGGGTCTGTCTCGGGTCTGTCTCGGTCTGTCTGTCTGTCGGTCTGTCCGGGTCTGTCTCGGTCTGTCTGTCTGTCTGGTCTGTCTCTGTCTCGGTCTGTCTGGTCTGTCTCGGGTCTGTCTCGGGTCTGTCTCGGGTCTGTCTCGGGTCTGTCTCGGGTCTGTCTCGTCTGTCGGGTCTGTCTCTGGTCTCGGTCTGTCTCGGGTCTGTCTCGGTCTGTCTCTGTCTCTGTCTCGGGTCTGTCTCGGGTCTGGGTCTGGGGTCTGTCGTCTGGTCTGTCGGGTCTGTCTGTCTCGGGTCTGTCTCGGGTCTGTCTCGGGTCTGTCTCTGTCTCGGGTCTGTCTTGTCTGGGTTCAACAGGTTTTATTGGTGCGTGTGGAGGAATCCTCCGCGGGTGAGTGTAATGTTCCTCCTGGAGTCATAAACGCTGCGGTCCGAAGGCCGCAGATAACAACAAACCAATAACGGCGCGTCCATTTTACACTCACGGTGTTTTAACGGAATAACACGGAGCAGAGTGAAGGAACCCGCACTGTTTCTACCCACATCCTATTATTGTATCAGAGCAGAGCCACACCCTGCGCCTCTTCAGCCTCACAAACAAACTCCAGCGCAACTAAAACCAAATAAATATTAAAAATGGAGATATTACTGATAAAAGTGTCATAAAATGTCCTGTACGTGCGCAGGAACAGCAATAACCTTATAACCTTCAAAACACGACCAGGCAAACGATAAAAACAAACAAAAAAATCATAATAATATCATTAAATCAAGCTTTTATTGCTTTAAATGTTGGTGTTTTCGATTATTTTTTTATTTTTTATTTTTTTATTTTTTTAACGCTGCATTTTCCCACATCCATCACCGTTTATGAGCCAATAAGCATCGCTCGGAGCGGAGGATGCTCTTTAGATTCGTGACTTTGTACCTTCGGGAAACACTGGTGTCGGTTCGGTTCGGTCCGGTCCTGGTGCTGGTGCGGGGGGCCGGTCCTCGGTGGTCTGCGTGCCCGGGGTCAGAGCGCTGTTCGTCGGCCTCAGTTCGGGTGACGCTCCGCTCTACGCTCCATCCGCCGAAGCTGCGGCCATTTTGGATCTAAAACCGCCGCGAAGCCAAGCCCGCGAAACCAGCGCGGCGCATCCGGTAAGCTCCTACAAAATAAATCCGCACCTGGCGAGAAAACGGGAACTGAAGCGGATGTTTACCAAATTTAAGGTGCGCTATGCCTCTAAACCGCCTTTAATAACGTTATAAATCAACTTACGTCATCACTAAACCATTTTATTGTTCATATTCGCGGTTTGAAGGCGTAATATTTCAGATGAGATTTGTTTTGAAGCGGCGTGTGGGAAGAGCGCTTCCTGTGAGTGGAGAAGAAGCAGAAGGTTTAATGGCGCCGCTTCACCTGTTCACGCTTCACTTCGCACCTCTATTTTTAATTTAAATTATTAAAACATTTAGTTCCTCAACACATCTTCACACCGGACACACAACCTCCTGCCTAAACCTGCACTTTTCTGTCAATGTATTTTAAACCAAAGTAAATTTATTACTCAAATAAATAAATAAATAAATTATAATAATACGACAGAGTAAAAGGGTCAGATTAAAAAAAAAAAAAAAAACATGCTGGTGCTACGAGAATAAAGTTGTAATTTTATGAGAATAAAGTCATATTTTTACGAGAATAAAGTAGTAATTTTATAAGAATAAAGTCATATTTTTACAAGAATAAAGTAGTAATTTTATGAGAATAAAGTCGCAGTGAAAATAAAGTGGTAATATCAGAACATCGGCGGCTCGTGGAGAATTTAGAGAATTTTGTAAAGGAGAAGAATCTGTGTATCATTCGTTCATTCGACTGAACAAGGACTGAATCAGGACTAAACCAGGTCCGGAACCAAACCAGAAAGACCAGGATTGAGACCGGAACCAGACCAGGACTGAAAACAGTTTAGTCCTGGTTTAGTCCTGGTTTAAGTCACGGAAATGGGAAACTGCGTTTCCAGAGTTTTCCTTAACTTTGTATTCGATTCACAGTTTTATTATTAACACCACAAACCCGGGACGTCTCTGTTTTTATTTTGTAAATCTGCTCAGTTGACGTCAGACCCACGATGGAAGTTTCAGTTATTTAAGTGATGATTTAAGTGATTATTTCAGTTATTACATAAAGATGTGATTAGATCTGTTGGTCCGAGTTTGTTGTGGTGCAGTTTATTTTTGTGGAGGAGGTTCTGCCTCCTGCCCACAGAGGCTCTCGCTTTGTTTGGAAATGCCTCAAAAAAAACAACAAAAAAAAACATGGTGGTTTATACGTAAAAAACAAACAAACAAACAAACAAAAAACATGGTGGTTAATATGTAAAAAAAACAAAAAAAAACATGGGTTTATAAGTAAAAAAATAATAATCATAAAAAATTGGGGGTTAATACATAAAAAAACAAGGGTTTATATGTTAAAAAATAAAAATAAAAAACATGGTGGTTAATACGCAAAAAAAAAAAAAAAAGGAGAAAAAACAAAAATTGTGGATTTTCTCAGAATCAACAATTGAAGCACCAAACTGTGACTCTCAAGTAATAAAAATAAAATAAATATTTTGTTCTAAAAGATACAGGAATTTTCAAGAGGCGACAGACGTCGTCTGTCGTCTGTCGTCTGTGTTTGAGGGACATGAGACACTGAGCGTCTGTGGTCAGATCGTCTCAAACGGAGGATTGTCTCTGTGGTCCAGAACCAGAACCTCCTGGACTCAAACACAGAAATATAACATGAATAAAATATATAAAATAAGATATTTACATTTATGTGGAACATCCCACAGTCCTGGTTTAGTCCTGGTTTAGTCCTGGTTTAGACCTGGTTTAGACCTGGTTCAGTCCTGGTTTAGTCCTGGTTTAGACCTGGTTTAGACCTGGTTTAGTCCTGGTTTACCTGGTTTGGTTTAGACCTGGTTTAGTCCTGGTTTAGAGACCTGGTTTAGTCCTGGTTTAGTCCTGGTTTAGACCTGGTTTAGTCCTGGTTTAGACCTGGTTTAGACCTGGTTTAGTCCTGGTTTAGACCTGGTTTAGACCTGGTTTAGACCTGGTTTAGTCCTGGTTTAGACCTGGTTTAGACCTGGTTTAGTCTGGTTTAGTCTGGTTTAGTCCTGGTTTAGTCCTGGTTTAGTCCTGGTTTAGACCTGGTTTAGTCCTGGTTTAGACCTGGTTAGTCCTGGTTTAGACCTGGTTTAGACCTGGTTTAGTCCTGGTTTAGACCTGGTTTAGACCTGGTTTAGTCCTGGTTTAGTCCTGGTTTAGTCTGGTTTACCTGGTTTAGACCTGGTTTAGTCCCTGGTTTAGACCTGGTTTAGTCCTGGTTTAGTCCTGGTTTAGACCTGGTTTAGTCCTGGTTTAGTCCTGGTTTAGACCTGGTTTAGTCCTGGTTTAGTCCTGGTTTAGACCTGTTTAGTCCTGGTTTAGTCCTGGTTTAGACCTGGTTTAGTCCTGGTTTAGTCCTGGTTTAGACCTGGTTTAGTCCTGGTTTAGACCTGGTTTAGTCCTGGTTTAGTCCTGGTTTAGTCCTGGTTTAGACCTGGTTTAGTCCTGGTTTAGACCTGGTTTAGACCTGGTTTAGTCCTGGTTTAGACCTGGTTTAGACCTGGTTTAGTCCTGGTTAGACTGGTTTAGACCTGGTTTAGTCTGGTTTAGTCCTGGTTTAGACCTGGTTTAGTCCTGGTTTAACCTGGTTTAGACCTGGTTTAGACCTGGTTTAGTCCTGTTTAGTCCTGTTTAGACCTGGTTTAGTCCGGTTTAGACTGGTTTTAGACCTGGTTTAGTCCTGGTTTAGTCTGGTTTACCTGGTTTAAAGACCTGGTTAAGACCTGGTTTAGACCTTTTGTTCTCTTTTATTGTGGCTTTTATTGTGAAAGTCTGTCATTTCCTTTTCTCTTGTTGAAATCAAAAGTGAAAGTAAACTGTGCTGCGTCAGGAGAGTTGATGAGATCGTCACGGATGTACCAGTCTGTCCGGTGAGTCAAACAAACAAACAAACAAACAAACAAACAAACAAACCAACACTTTAAACACTTTGATTTGATGATTTGATTCTTTTATTCGTTTGATTTGAGTGGTGTTTGTGTTTGTGGACGTGTCTCTGTCTCTGGAGGATGTGCTGTGTGTTTGGTTTCGTTCTGACGCGGTCGTGTCCGGTGCACGAGCAGCTCACGGCCGTCAGTGACATGGCGATTTTAATGCCTCCGTACGGAATATTTCTGATTAGTTTGTGTGTTTGTGTTTGTGTTTGTGACAGAAGCGGAGACATGAGCAGCGACGCAGCCCGTGAGTAACACGTCAAAAACACGATCATCACACGGCTCTAAAACGAACTAACTCTAAAAATATTATTATTATTATTATTATTATTATTATTATTATTATTATTATTATTATTATTATTGTTATTATTATTATTATTATTATTGTTATTATTATTATTATTATTATTATTATTATTATTATTATTATTATATTATTATTGTTGTTATTATAATATTATTATTATATTATTATTATTATTATTATTATTATTATTATTATTATTGTTATTATTATTATTATTATTATTATTATTATTATTATTATTATTATTGTTGTTGTATGATTGACAGTGTCGGGGAGTAACAGATTACATGTACCAGAGTAATCAGAGTAAAAATGATGAGTAACTGTATTCAGTTACAGTTACTGTTTCAGTGAGTGGTAATTGGATTACAGTTACTTTGTTGAAATAAATGGATTACACAGAGGAATTTTACTGTTTTCACATTTTGGGCTAAACCAGGTCTAAACCAGGACTAAACCAGGACTAAACCAGGTCTAAACCAGGACTAAACCAGGACTAAACCAGGTCTAAACCAGGTCTAAACCAGGACTAAACCAGGACTAAACCAGGTCTAAACCAGGTCTAAACCAGGACTAAACCAGGTCTAAACCAGGTCTAAAACCAGGACTAAACCAGGTCTAAACCAGGTCTAAACCAGGACTAAACCAGGTCTAAACCAGGACTAAAACCAGGTCTAAACCAGGACTAAACCAGGTCTAAACCAGGACTAAACCAGGTCTAAACCAGGTCTAAACCAGGACTAAACAGGTCTAAACCAGGACTAAACCAGGACTAAACCAGGTCTAAACAGGACTAAACCAGGTCTAAACCAGGTCTAAACCAGGACTAAACCAGGTCTAAACCAGGTCTAAACCAGGACTAAACCAGGTCTAAACCACCAGGTCTAAACCAGGACTAAACCAGGTCTAAACCAGGTCTAAAACCAGGACTAAACCAGGTCTAAACCAGGACTAAACCAGGTCTAAACCAGGACTAAACCAGGTCTAAACCAGGTCTAAACCAGGACTAAACCAGGTCTAAACCAGGACTAAACCAGGACTAAACCAGGTCTAAACCAGGACTAAACCAGGACTAAACCAGGACTAAACCAGGTCTAAACCAGGACTAAATCCTGCTGTGTGACGTGTTTCTTCGTTTTCTATCAATAATATTTTTAATTTGGATAAATAAAGTTTGGACTTTTTATTTTCTTTTATCAGATAAAACTTCTCATGTGAAGATTTCCTCGTCTTTGTTTCTCTACAACAAATCAAGTAATCCAAAGTAATCAGATTACATTACTCACTTGAAGTAATTTAATGGATTTCGTTACAAACTACATTTTGGAGTTTGTAATGTAAAATTACATTTTAAAAGTAAACTTCCCGACGCTGGTGGTTGTTTGTTCTTGGTGGATTCAGATGACGTCGGGTCTTTTAGTTTTTGCGTCGGGACTTTGGGACACGTCACCATCAAAATAAAATACTCCCTACTAATATTTAAATGATTAAAAATAAAATTAAACAGAATGTTTGTGTTTGTGCAAAAAAAAAAAACAAATACAAACAAAGTTCCGGTTTAGTCCTGGTTTAGTCCTGGTTCAGTTCTGGTGTAGTCCTGGTTTAGTTCTGGTTTAGTCCTGGTTTAGTCCTGGTTCAGTCCTGGGTTAGTCCTGGTTTAGTCCTGGTTTAGTCCTGGTGTAGTCCTGGGTTAGTCCTGGTTCAGTTCTGGGTCTGTCCTG